CTACTGTTCTTCGCAAGCTTCCAGATTTTTCCATTTTCTTGGGACTCCTTTGCGGATGTGTTCTTCAAGTTTCCAGAGTTTGTGTGTTTTACTTTGCATTCTTCATGGGTGGCAAACTCTCTTTCCTCTCTCTGAAAGCTTTGAGCGATCTCTTTGCATGGCTGCATTTGCTTCCGTGAGGTCGTCGAGTTTTCTTTGCCTTAGTTCTTCGCAAACCTCTCTTCTCTCCTCTCTCCATGGTCGTGCAAGTTCCGAGTTTGAGTGTTTTTCTTCGCATTCTTCATGTGTGTTACTGGCAAAGTCTCTCGTTTCCTTCGCTCTGCTTGATCAATCTCTTTGCGAAAGTTTACTTTGCCTTCGTTCTTCGCAAGAGAAAACTTGCCTTCGTTCTTCGCAAACTGCTCTTTCTCACACTTTCCAACGTTTTACCAGGCGATTACCATCGGGATTGCTTTCGGAGTTATCATCCATGGCGGTGTCCACCTTGCCTGCGACTTCCCCCGGATCGTGCAAGCCTCGGACGAGGATTTTAACGCCAAGATTGGCCGCGGCTGGCACTACGAGAAGCCGAGCTACATGGACATTGTCAAGTCGGTGACGGGGATCACCGGGATCATCATGGTGGTGCTCATGATCATTGCCTTCACGCTCGCCACCCGCTGGTTCCGCCGGAGCCTCGTTAAGTTACCATGGCCCTTCCATCGCCTTACGGGGTTCAACGCCTTTTGGTACTCGCACCACCTCTTTGTCATCGTCTACGTCTGTCTCATCGTCCACAGCTTCAAGCTCTTCTTGAGCTTCAAGTTCAAGGATAAAACCGTAAGTTTGTCCATCTTTCTTCCTGCTTGTGGATGAACTTCATTGATCCTATCCATCTTTCTTCCTGCTTTGGTTGTTTTTTGTGTTTGGTTGCTCGTTTGTTTCCATTGATTCGCTCGCGCTTTTTTCTTTTTTCTTCTTTTTTCTTCGTCATTTCGATCGTAATGCGTTGGATTCTTCCTTGCATCGGATTCCACCACTCACTACAGTTGTGTGCTTTCTTTTTTGAGCTCCCAGACTTGGATGTACCTCAGCGTGCCGTTGCTTCTTTACACCGGGGAGCGAACTTTGAGATACTTTCGATCAGGGAATTACTCTGTACAGATTCTCAAGGTACGTGAGAAACTTGAGTAGAGAAAGAAAAGATTGATCAAACCGTGTTCCTCTTCTTTTGTGTTTTTTTTATGGTTGCAGGCTGCGATCTACACTGGAAACGTTTTGGCTTTGCACATGACGAAGCCACCTGGGTTCAAGTATAAAAGCGGCATGTATCTCTTCCTTAAATGCCCAGCAATCTCACCGTTCGAGTGGTAAATTTCTTCTCCTTCCTTTTTTTTCTTGCTCGTTCCACCAGTTCCATAAGACTTTTGTGTGTTTTTCTTGTCTGTGCATTTATTGTCCGTCCAGGCATCCGTTTTCCATAACCTCCGCCCCTGGAGACGACTTCGTGAGCGTACATATCCGAGTTCTTGGCGACTGGACGCAGGAGATGAAGCGAATCTTCTCCGAGGTAAAGTCATCGTTAAGTTGATCCAAGCTTTGCTTCATCTTTTTTCTCGTCTCACTGCAGGTGTGTGAGCCACCGATTGGAAACAAGAGTGGCCTTCTCCGAGCCGAGTACATCGTTGGCGCGGCGTCGCGGAACAAGTTTCCAAAGCTGTTGATCGACGGGCCTTACGGAGCTCCGGCGCAGGACTACCGGAAGTACGATGTGTTGCTACTGGTCGGACTGGGCATTGGAGCCACCCCGTTCATCAGCATCCTCCGGGACATGCTCAACCACATCAAAACTTCCGACCACCCATCGCCAAGCGACTCCGTCCACATTGACATGATCCGGGCCATGGAGAGCCCGCGGAGGCGAAAGAGGCGAGGCCCGACCAACGCCTACTTCTACTGGGTGACGAGAGAGCAGGGATCTTTCGACTGGTTCAAAGGCGTGATGAATGAAGTTGCCGAGATCGATCAAAAGGTGGTTTTCTCTTTCGAGACTTTGTTGTCACTATTATCATCTTTCTCTCCAGGCTGTGATTGAGATGCACAACTATTTGACGAGCGTTTACGAGGAGGGCGACGCAAGGTCTGCGTTGATCACCATGGTGCAAGCTCTCCACCATGCCAAGAATGGTGTGGACATTGTCTCGGGAACCAGAGTAAATAGTTTTTTTCCTTTGCTTCCTCTCTCGTGATGGTTTTTGATGTTTGTTTTGCTCTCTTGTGCTAGGTACGCACGCACTTTGCCAAGCCAAACTGGAGGAAAGTATTCTCCAGGCTCGCAAGCACGCATCCGGATTCTAGAATTGGTAAGAGTTTCTCGCTTTGAAAGTTCTCTCATAGTTAGAAAACCAAGATCTAAGATCGAGCTCTCTGTCGAATCCAGGCGTATTCTTTTGCGGATCGTCTCTTCTGGCCAAAGAGCTGGACCAGATATCGCGCGAGTACACGTATAAGACGAGCACCAGATTTGAGTTCCACAAAGAACACTTCTAAAAGAAGGAAGCAAAGGCGAAAGCTTTGTGTATAGAGATACAGCACACGCATACACACAATTATTTACGAAGGAGCGAACAAGGCAACACTCCTTTTCAGTCGAAAAACGATCGACACTCGATGTACAGAAGTACCAACATCGCAGGAAAAGAATTTTGTAAGTCAAAGGAGACTCCTTTTTTCTCTCTCGAGTTTATAGAATTGAGTCGAATTGTTTTGCAAGGTACGCTCTTTTTTCTTGCTTTGTTTCTAAAGTCAGCTCGGGCTTGTTCTTCCAGGATCGAGTCAAATTGGCTGCTGCGAATACGATCCATCTTTTGTCGTCTCCAGTTCGTTTCTAGCTGTAGAAACACGGAGAAAAGAAGCGAACGCGCACAGCGCAGTGTTATGAAGAACACGACGCGATGGGCAGAAAGAACAGGAACGTTTTTTTTTTTTTTAATTTTCTGCTTTATTTAACAATATTTTTATTCTTTACTAATTCCTTTAATGGGGAATAACTATTCTTAAAATCCTTTTTCTTTTTCTTTGTATACTATACATTACAAGCTGCATCATGCACTTCAGTAGTACAAAAGCTGTACCAAAATGTAGTACATGCAAACTGTCAAAACACGTACGAATCCGTGAAATTGGGATCAAAGAGTACGTCAAAGGAGAGAAACCATGGCTTATTCGAGAGAAACCATGGCTTTCTTTTTACAAAATCCTAGATATTAAATGTAAACACTCTTGACCTTTGATAAAATCTTCTATATATTAAAACCATGTAAATGTTTATTTAATTTGTACTTGCAAGCGCAAGCTTGTCTATACCAGGAACTGGAAGGCCACAAGGAGTAGCACGAAAGCTCCCATGGCGGTGGTGGTGCTGCTGGCGATGGCTCTAGAATTAGGGGCTGGAGCTGGACCATGGTGGTGCATGCCCGGCCCCGGTGCCATTGCCGGGCCGTGGTTGTGGCCTTCGTGAGCCAAGACCATCGCCATCGCCAACAGGAGCTGGAAAAGCACGAGCTTGATCCTCCAAGAAGCAGCCATGGCGCGAGGAAGAAGAAGAATCGATCGACAAGTCCCTCGAGGAATTCCCAGGCGCGATTGATCGATCGATCGATCGAGAAGCGAGAAGCGAGAACTAGCGGAGGGACGCTCTACCTAGAACCAACTAAAATGTCAATGCACACAAAGGAGAGCCCGTCCAGGGGTTTTATCTATGGGGAGCGAATGGATCGTGCATCCCCAAGTTGACTCATTCCTTTTTTAGGGCAGGGGTGACACATGGACTGCCATTTGTGTGCCACGTGGCACCTGGGTTTCTATAAAAACTCAAAACCTTTCTTCTTCTTCTTCTTCCTCTTCGAGTTTTCTTGGTTTCGCTTGGATGAAGATGAAGGCGAATCGTGTGGCAATCGCGGCGCTACTGCTGGTGGTGGGAGTGGTGGGAGTGGCGATGGCGACGCCGGCTCCAGCCCCGGGTCCTCACCATGGCCACGCGCCGGGCAGAGCTCCCATGACGATCTCGGATGCAACTGGAGCATCGCCCTCGACGACCCTGCTGCTAGCGCTGCTTGCCGCGAGCTTCATGGAATTCTTCGCGTTGATCCTGTGATGAAGGCGCGATCTAGATAGAGATTGTGGTGTAAAACTTCGATCTAGCTCACATTAATCTCTCAATAAATGAAAGAACTTGTAGCGAGAAAGCATCGATCGCGAATTCCAGAATCCGAGTCCAATCGAGCGAAGGATTTTCAACTCACGCGGAGAAATTGGTTTGAAACTTTGGGCTCGCGTCGCCATTTCAAACGATTCCCGTGGAATATGTCTCGTACGGACACTCCTTGCTTGTCAATCCACATTCATTTATATGCTACCTAGCGAAGAACCAAGAACACCCCCAAGCAAGCGGCAATCAACAGCGCTGGCACTGCGGGAAAATTCGCGGCGCCACCGGTCTCCAGCGCAGGGGGGAAGCTCGGCGCGGGAGCGATGGAATCCTCCTCGGCAAGTGGCTCGTCCAGAGCATTTGCAGCGAGGATCCCACGAATTCATCACCAAACTGGCCATGATCGCCAGCGGCAGCAGAAGCAGTGGGGTCGCTGGAGCGAACTTGGTCATCTTCGGGGGCTGGGATCGTCAAACGCGCCCAGAAGATCAATTAATTCCCCAGCAGCGATGGATCGATCGATCGTAAGAAAGAATTGTGGAATGCTGTTCTGGGCGAATGAGTGTGAGAGCTTTGAATTTATAGTGTGGAAAGCTTGGCCAACCACGTTTGTCCCGAATGGACGGAGAGGATCGCATCGCGTGCGGCCGTCCATTCGCCGCAAATCGCGGCATCTATAACGGCCTAACCTTTATTGCCGACGTGGAGCCGTCGTGCTTTACACGTCACTGATCCACCAACGTGGCAAGAGCCGGCTTTACCAGCATTGCCCTAAGAACTATCGTGGCGTGCACGCGTACGCGGGAATCCGATGTGGTGGATAGCGTGTCACCACACGTGGAGGGGCCAATTTTTGGCGGAATATACCCCGCAAACCGCCATACAGAGCGCTCCTGGGTTTATATATAAAAGGGCCCCCCCGTGCTTTCGTTGGCATAGGTTTCCTAGGCTTCTTTCTTGGTCGCTTCGCTTGCTCACTCGCAAAAGCTGCTAGATCGATCGCGATGGCGCACAGATTTGCCGAAGTGGTGGCGCTGATCGTGGCCGCGGTGATGGCGTCGGCGGTTTCTTGCGCCCATGCCCAAGCCCTCAGCCCGGCTCCACCTCCAGAAGAGGGGGCAGGGTTTGCGCTCGCTCCAGCGGTGGCGGTGATCGCAGGGATGAGCGCCCTCTCCTTCTTGTTCGCGAGGATGTGAAGATCTTTCTAACGGCGGCTATGGCGGTGGGACTTCTTCTTCTTGGATTACGCTCTACATTTTGGTGCCGCTGCCGCTGGCCGCAAGATTGTGACGATCGACTGATCTATGTAGCGAGGAATTTTTTGGCTTGTTTTTCTGCTTGTAGTGTTGTGTGATTTCTCCGAAGAGCTCCTCCCCTGTGACTGGATTCTTTTTGGAATAAAATATATACCTTTCTCGGATGTAAAGAGAAGGGTGTCTCTCTCTCTCTTTTTAGGGTTCTTCGTGGCTATGGCGGACGAGATGTTCCTGGCAATGCCGCTCCAATCGCTGGTTGGGGGGTCTAGCGCGCTGGAAAATCTCTCGGGAGGGGGCAGGAAGGGCGGGAAGAAGGATGATCGCATCCCGCAGTGGGGATTCAACGAGACGAAGGAGCTAATTGCGATCCGCGCGGAGCTGGAGAAGGATTTCACGCAGACGAAGCGCAACAAGACACTCTGGGAGCTCATCGCGGGCAAGATGAAGGATAGGGGCTACCGGCGAAGTGCCGACCAGTGCAAGTGCAAGTGGAAGAATCTCGTCAATCGCTACAAGGTTAGTGCTAGGATAGCTGGAGATTCGATCTGATCGGTCGGTGGGTCGTGATCTTTCTAGGGAAAGGAGCTCTCGGATCCAGAGAATGGCCGCCAGTGCCCATTCTTCGACGAGCTAGACTCGATCTTCAAGGCCCGGCTCAAGAACGCGGGCTCCAAGCTCTTGCTCGAGTCGGATGGATTGATTCGGCCAAAGAAGCGGACCAAGCAGCAGCAGCAGCAGCAACCGCATCTATCCGACGATCCCGACAACAGCGACGAGGAGGAGGAGCAGGAGGAGGAGGATCCGAGCGGCGGAGAGGACGATCGCGCCGTCCAGAAGAAGAAGAGGAAGGCGGACAAGGAGCGGCAGCGCGCGACGGCGGAGAAGTACCGCGCCAACAACATGCAGGAGGTGCTGGAGGAGTTCTTCCAGCAGCAGCAGCGGATGGAGGAGCAGTGGCGGGAGGTGTTCGAGCGGCGCGATCGCGAGCGCCGGGATCGCGAGGCGGAGTGGCGGCAGAGGATGGAGCGGCTCGAGGCGGAGAGGAGGGCGCGCGAGCACGAGTGGTGGGAGCGCGAGGAGGTGAGGCGGGCGCAGGACGAGCTGAGGTCGCAGAAGAGGGAGGAGCTCCTCACGGCCCTCGTCATGAGAGTTGCTCAAGAGCCCTAATATTCTTGGGATATTCTACGCACAGGATATTCACTTTTTTGAATATAGATGCTTGTCGCTCTGGCCGATTCCTACAGATCTTATTCCCGCAAAACGTTCCCGCTCGATCGCTCTATAGCTATTCGATCACTCTATCGATCATCACTCGCCCTTGCTCTTCTTCTTCCTCTTCTTCGCGGAGGTAGCGGCGGCATCTCCAGCGGCTCCAGCGGCTTCCTCCTCCTTGAGCTTCGGTCGCTTCTTGGAGCTTCCAGCCTCCTCGGCCTTCATGGAGCTCTCGGCCTCGCCCTCGCCATCGCCATCGCCATAGCCCTGCGCCGCGCCTACATCTTCGCCCTTGGGTTCCTCGACCTTCTTGGAGCTTCCGGCCTCGCCATCGCCATCGCCCTGGCCCTGCGCTGCGCCTCCATCCTCGCTCGCCGCCACCACCTTGCTTTTCTTCTTTCTCTTCTTGGCCTTGGTGGCGAGATCCCCCTCCGGAACAGCGACGGCAGCGGCGGGAGTGGCAGGAACAGCCACCGCGGGAGGTGGAGGAGGCGGAGGAGGAGTTGCGTCAACTTCCATCGCGGCATCCTTGTTCTCGTCCCCTGTATTTGTGTTCTTGTTCTTCTTGTTTTTCTTCCTCCTTGAAGCAGGGGCGGCGGCAGCGGCAGCGGCCTCCTCCTCTGGAAGCACTGAGGAAGTCACCGTCTTCGTCTTCGACTCCACCACCACCGTCGACACCGTCTCCTTCTGATTGTTCTTGTTCACCTTCGACTCCACCACCGCCGCCGTCGACAGCGTCTCCTTCTTGTGCCTGTTCTTCCTCTTGCTCTTCTTGCCACCGGCACTGGCAGCGGCGACGGCGGCACTGGCGGTGGCGTCGCCGTTGTTGGTCGCCTCCTCGCCACTGATCTTCTCCTCGCCGCCACTCCCCTTCTCTCCACCATCCTTCTCGCTCTCCGGCTCCGGCTCTCTGCAAGAAACGAAGGGGAAAGAAATCCTTGACGTACACAAGAGCATACCTTTCCCGGGCTATCAGATGCAGCGCGGCTTTCAGCTCGTCATCCAAGTCGCCTTCCTCCTAGACAGGCGATTCACCTTCAATGCAAAGAAAACAATTTCCCACTGCTTTCGTTACCAGATCCCTTCGGAAAGCCGAGAGCGTGTTATCGAAGCGGCCGGCGCGGCCCCGCAGCCAGGCGACGAAATCCACCGCCGCCATCGTGAAGCTCCTGCCCTAGCGCAATCGTGATGTTTAAGCCCTAACCAAAACCCTGGTAATATTGGCGAATAAGTTGTTGAGAACCTTGGCTAATCCAGGAGTGCAAGACTTTGTGAGCTCGGAGGGAGAAAAAGCGTGCGAGTAGCAAAATCTATCCCGTAGTGAGGTTTCATCTTTTTGAGTTCTTGAGTTGGATAAGTTGATAGTTGAAAGAATTAATTATAAAGATTCTTCTCGGGTTTCGTGTTTCAGTGGCTCTTTTGATTTCGCAAGAGCGAAGTAGAAGCTGGGCGAACGATGAGAACTTGAACAACTAGCATTTACCGCAATTTGAACTTAGGTCGCTTGAGTATGGTGTAACCAAACATAGGAAGAGCTCACTTGCAAAAAAGAAAACAAAATAAAAAAGGAGAAAGAAACAAGACAAGATGGCATATTTTGCTTGACAATCACGAGAATAAATCATGGCTTATGATAAACTAATGACTCCAAAAGAGATATACATTAGGGATAATCACTTCGTTTAATGGGTGATAATTACTGTTGAAGCAAACATTCCCATTAGGCTTCATAATAAGATGAAATTCACACATTTAAAGCCACATCTTTTAGATAATACCCTTGTCCAACATTTTCTTGATACTTACATGTACTTTCTCCTTGGCAAATAACAAAACCCAAGAAAGGTGGCCTGGTCATGAATCTCAAATTAGGATAAAAGAAAACTCATTCCTGCATAGTTTTAAAGTGTTCAAAATGTTGACAATGTATGGGCATCTTAAAGTTGTTTTGCCCAATACAAAGCTTTGCTTTCTGTCAAAAGAGTGTAACATAGAAATAAATCACATTTGTTGCTCATATGTTGATGGAGGCCTTGGAAGTAACCAAAAGAGATGGTACACCTGCCGCATTGCCAGCTCTTCTTGAGGCAAAACGATAGTGGTCAAAACTTGATCTCACTGATAAATTGCAAATGCAGAGCCCTAAAGTTCTTAATGCTTTTTTGAGAATCTTATTTTGTGAGTATATAGGTGCGGATGATGCACGGTGCATTTTCATTTTCTAACGAATTTGGTCAAAAAACAAAGCGTCTGAAGTCAAATAATCTGGAGCTTTCTATAATTACTTAGGTTTTTTTGTTATAACAAAATATAATTACTAACTAGGTATTGGATGCTCGCGGCATTTGGGCACGCCTCAAAGCCCGAAGTGCTGTGGCTGTGATATCCCCTGCCGCCTCGATCTTAAAGAACGAAGGACTTGACAAACCCTAAGAGGAATAGCTCTTCCTTGGCAAGAAAGAAAGAAGAATGGATGGAACGAGAGCGCTGTCTTGCGCAAATGCGGGGCACCACTGCCCTGTCCCAGGCGATCAAGATCCATTCCTCCATGAGAGTGCACGCCGGCGATGTCTTCCTCTCGAACCGGCTCATCGAGATGTATGGCAATTGCGGCAGCGTGAAGCACGCGAGGGAGATCTTCGACGAGATGCGCGACCGCAAAAACGATTTCTCCTGGACATCTATGTTCCTGGCGTGCACGGGCAACGGCGAGGTGGAAGACGCGAGAGAGCTCCTGGATCAAATGCCAGGCCAGAAGAACATCATCCTCTGGACAGCGCTGATCGTTGCGTATGGCAGCAAGGGGCGAACGGAAGAAGCCAAGGCCCTGTTTGATCAGATGCCGCAGTGGGATCTTGTTTCCTGGAACGCCATCCTGGCAGCATTTGCCCAAACTAGAGATTTACAAGAAACAAGAGGGATTTTTTATGCCATGCCGGAACGCAACGTTGTGTCCTGGACGGCGATGCTGGATTGCCTATCGCATAGGCCGGAATCCGCAAAACTGGTTTTTCATATGATGCCAGAGAGGGATCTTGTGGCGTGGAATGCCATGCTTTCAGCATATGCCCAATCTGGGCATATGTACGAGGCTACACAAGTGTTTGCCAAGATGCCCGAAAGGAACATTGTAACTTGGACGCTGATGTTAGATGCTTTTCTGCAAGATTCGAAGCTCGTGGAGGCTGAACTTCTTTTCAAAAAGATGCCAGAGATCAACCTTGTATCAGTAACCACAATGCTGACAGCATATGCTCGTTTGGGGCATCTTGACGACGCTCGAAAGCTGTTTGATTCTTTGCCGGTGTTGAGCGTTATTGCTTGGAACTCTCTTCTAGTTGCTCATGCGGAAAGGGGAGAGGTGGAAGAAGCAAAGCTTGTGTTTGATTCTATGCCCGAGAGGGATTTGATCTGCTGGAGTTCGATGGTGGCGGCGTATGCTCGAAGTGGCGATATCTCCAGCGCGAGGGCGGTGTTTGACTCAATGCCGCAGCGGGATCTCATCGCCTGGACAGCGATACTAGTCGCCCACGCCGAGAATTGCCGCGACCTAGAGCAATCCAAGCTCCTGTTCGATGTGATGCCGGAGAGAGACCTTGTTGCGTGGAATGCAATGCTGGGCGCATATGGCAATGTCGATTCTGGAGGAAAACTCGGCGAGGCTCTAGCAATATTCGTGGAGATGCCCGAGAAAGATCTTGTCTCTTGGAACACGTTGCTGGGGGCGTATGCCCGGATCGGGCATATCGCCGCTGCCAAGCGAGTGTTCGCCACCATGCCCGAGAGAAATGTCGTGTCTTGGAGCTCCCTGCTCGCTGCTCACACCCAAAACTCTTGCCAGTCCATCGAGATCGTCGACACGTTTGGCGAGCTCAAGCTTGTGGACCACCCTGATCAAGTGTGCTTCACGCTCGCGCTCATCGCGTGTAGCCGCTTGGGAGAGCTCCAATCGGCCATGCGGTTCTTCGCGTCCTCCATCGCCGACTATGGGATTGAGGCTACAAAGCAGCATTACTGCTGCCTGGCCGATGTGCTCGCACGAGCCGGGCATTTGCGACAGGCCCAAGATCTCCTCCATGCCATGCCATTCGTTCCAAGCTCGGTGGAGTGGCTGTGCTTGCTCGCTGCGTGTAAGAACCGGCGCGAGATCACGGACTTGCAAGCACAAAGATTTTTCCCCGCGGACCATGGAGCAGCATTGGCTCTCGTCGCGAACGCGTATTGTCGATCGTCCAGGCCACCAAGGGTGGGATTGTGAGTGGAAGAGCTTTCTGGAAAGATAGATTTTTCCATCTCATTCACTGGTCTGCTCGGCTCTGGACACGCTTCTCCTTCATGGCGGGCTTCTTGCCTGGTTTCTAAATGATCAAGTGAGTCTGGATGTTGTGGCCGTCTCCACTCTTTTCTTCCGTTCGCTGGATCCAGAATGCTGCCGCTCTCTGATCCGCGACAGTGATTCCAGCGCCATCTCCTCGGTGGTCTCGACTTCTTCCCACAAAGAAGACGGCGATGGAGGTGATTTCGGATTGGAGCTAGCCCCAAGCATTTCTGAAAGGATTAGAGGCGGGCTTGAACCATTCCCTTTTCGTTTGGAAAGAGGAGTTTAGGAGGTTCATTTTTTCTCTCTTTTGTTTTCTTTCTGAATAATTTTGATAGTCTTTCTTATTGGTAAGCGTCAAAGGGGTTCTGGTGGACAAGTCAAGGTAGCTGGTTTATTCAAAGGAAGGGCCTTTGAAGAAGTGGATATCAAGGAAATGTAATTCTTGGAAAGTGATCTTTGGAGTTAACATTTGAGGACCTTAATCATGTCAGCTTTTAAGTCATTATTGACTTTATAAAGATGTTTATTTTTTAATGATTTATGGTTAGGTTTTTATTTCCACATACTGAACTTTTTCTTGGGCCACTTTCCTTCAATTTATAAACAAATTTTGAAGATTTGGTGACAAATTTTTTTAATTAAAAACTTTAGTTTTAAGATTTCTTTTTCTAATAAAAATAGATGAAAGTAAAATGTAAGATTTTTTATTTAATTACAGGTATAAATTAAATTAAATTTGAACATTTATTTTGTGTGGGCAAATGATTATTAAAAAATATTGTTGACCTAGGTAAGTAATGTTTTTAATTTAAAGGTGATTTTTTATTGTAAGGTATAATTTAATATATTTTTTATATATGTAATATAGTAATACCATATACTTATTACATAAATATAAATTAATTTAAAACTTTAGTTTTATGTTTTACCCTATCTATTAGTAATTAATTTTAGTGTAATCAACTCTGTAATTCAAGAACTCTATATGATAGTCTTTTTAATCGTTTACTGAGCATAACACACTTTAGTCTAAACATAATATATCTTTTGACTCAACTGAGTTATATATAATATATTTATTTATTATACAGAAAGAAAATAATTTATAGGTTTGGAATTCTTTGGGGTATAACTTTTAAGAAAATTAATTAGTTAAAAATTAAATAAGTTATTTTTTATTTAAAATAGTAAGTTAAATATGAATCAAAATCTTTTTAAAAAAAATAAACTTCAACAGTTTTCAAGTGAATTTATTAAATTTAACAAAAATAGATAAATATGAAATATTTTTTATTGGTATAATATAACATTTTTATAGGTGATAATAACTTTATTGGTTTTAATTATCTAATGTTTAAAGTGCATATAAATAATTAAATTTATTAAATATAAATCATTATTCTATCTTAAAAGCTCAATTTAATCTTTATACCTAACATATTGATAGATTTTTTATTTATATTTAGTGCATAACTCAGTTAAATCTTCATATCGTAATATATTTCATTTTATTTTAATATTAATCTAAAACTTAAAGTTAGAATTAGAGAAAATTTTTAAAAATTCAAAATCACAAAATATGGAAGATAAAGATTTAATAAGTATGAATATGTTTAACAACGAAATTTATATTTAGGCTAAAAAATTATAAACATATTTAAAATTTTCTAAACATTTTCTAGCATATTCCTTTACACTTTTGTAATTACTTACAATTAGCCATTTGTAAATATTAGAATTATAAATTTCATTGTGAAAATTCAATTTGTGAGGGCCAAATGTACGGCTACGATGCCGTATACTAATATTAGCGCTGTGGATTTTGGTAGCCGTCGGATTGGTTTCAATCCAGACCACTCGCTCCTGTATATAAGCTAGGGTTTTTGGGTTAATTGATATGCACATTTTTGTATTCCCTTTCCATATTCCATGCACTCACATTGGTGGAGGTGAGGGGCACCTTTGATTGTCCTTGGGGAGTGCTTGGATTTGGGATTTTGGTTTTGATTGTCCTTGGGGAGTGCTTGGATTTGGGATTTCGGTTTAGATCTAACTTTTTCCATTTCCTTTCTTTCGTTCTTTCCTTTCAGGATTTTGGTTTAGATCTAGCTTTTTGCATTGTTTAGATCTACCATTTCTTTCCAGCTTTTTGTCATTTCTCTTCTTTTGCTCTTTTTTTCTCATTCATTTTCATGGCCGATCCGCAATCTCCTCCTTTGACTCTAGAGCAGCAGTTGGTTCAATTGCTTGATGCTATGCGCTTGCAATTGAACAACCAAACTCAGTTGATGGCGGCGTTCACGGCACATGGTACAACTCCTCCTGCTTTTGGTGCCAATCCTCGCGTTCAGCCGGAGTTCTTTCGTGGGAATCCTGGGGATGATGTGTACCATTGGTTCGATCACTTCACGGTGATTGCCACATATCATTCTTGGGATGATGCTCGACGTTTGCGTGAGTTCCCCACATGTTTTCAAGGGACGGCATTGCAGTGGTATAAAGGATTGAGCGCAGCTACTCGTGGCGATTGGAGTGTTCTTCCGGACGTCTTCAAATGCGCCTTCGGACACGCCGACGATTGTAATGATGCCTTCCAACAATTGCATCGTCTTCGCCAATGGCCATCTGAGTCGGTGATGCAATTTGGCGTTCGTTTCCGAAGTCTTTTGCTTCGTGCGGAGCCAAATATGTCGGAGCGGATCAAGCTAGGAATGCTGTGGCCAGCACTTCGTCAAGATCTTGTCGGACTTGTGCATGCACTTGCTCCTGCCACTCTTGACGATGCCCTTCGCTTGGCACAACGTTATAAGACGTCGCCTCTTCCACTTCTTGCTACACGTCCTTCAGCTCCACTTCCTATGAGTGATGGGCCTGTTCCCATGGAGGTTGATGCTGCTGCTACTCGAGTCCAAGGACAAGGGCGAGGACGTGGTCATGGCCGTGACATTCGTTGCTGGGCGTGTGATGAAGTTGGTCATACTTATCGGCGTTGTTAGCGCTTTCCGGATTGGCGACCTCCATTTCCTGGGTGGAGACCTTGGCGTCAGCAACATCCCGTTGGTGCTGCTGCGGTGGAAGGTTTGGATACCGAGGTGCATTCGGGAAACGAGGAGTCGCGCAAGTAATGGAGGGACCTTGCGCGAATAAGTTAGTGACCCCTCCATCTTTCTTTCGGGAGTATCATCAAGGGGTTCACTCAGCACCGGTTCATCCAGTGTTTACTTTCCAAGCTCGTTTTTATAACAAGAGGTCTCCTATTCTTCTCTCCGTGTTGGTTGATACAGGTTCGAGTTTATCTTCTACTGCTCGACCTGTTGCCACACGTTGTCGTCTACACTTGCGTCGTGCGGCGGATCCAGTTTTCATTCTTTATGGCAACGGCCGTACACATGCATGTGCATGAGATGAGGTGGACCTGGTTGTGCGTGTGGGCGATCTCGAGCTTGAGTTGCAGTCATTGCGGGTGGTGCCGAGTCAAGCTTTTGACCTCATTCTTGGTATGGATTGGTTGCAGCACAATCATGCCAAATGTGACTTTGAGGCTTTTCCCCCTTGTCTCATACTTCCTTATGTTTCATCCATTCCTCTCACTTCCGTACCTCTTCGTCCCTCTACTTCTACCTCTGTTTCCATTACTTTTGTTCCCCCATTATTTCCTCTTGTGTTTCCATCTTGTTCTGCTCTTCCCTTTTCTGATCCCTCCGATGATCTTTGTGTTGCAGCTGTTGACTAGCTCATGAAGGAGTATTCTGATCTCTTTGAATTTGACCTATCGTCTGGGGCCAAGATTGCCATATGTCATCCCATTCCAACTGGGGATGCTCGTCCAATCAAGGTTCCTGTTCGTCGTCGGTCACCCAAGGAGATCAAGATTTTACGTGCAAACGTCAAGGAGATGTTGGAGAAGGGTGTTATTCGGAAGTCGCAGAGTCCTTGGGCATGTGAACCTCATCTTGTGACGAAGCCTGATGGGAGTATTCGTTTTTACATCGACTATCATCCGTTAAATGAAGTGACGATCCCGGACGTGTACCCTCTTCCTCACACTGCTGATCTCTTGGATCGTCTGGGGCGAAGTCGTTGGTTCACCAAGTTAGATCTTGCTTCTGGGTATTGGCAAGTACCGATGGCTGAAGACGATATTCCTAAGACTGCTTTTCGTACACCATTTGGTTTGTACGAGTTTTTGGTGATGCCGTTTGGTTTGAACAATGCTCCAGCAACTTTTCAGCGGATGATGGACGAGGTTCTTTGCGATATGCCGGAGGTGACGGCTGACTTCATTGATGATGTCTTGATCCACTCGGAGGGGACGTGGGAGGAGCATGTTTGTGATGTTTGTAAAGTGTTGGATCGGCTACGCGATGTTGGTTTAAAGCTGAAGCGGTTGAAGTGCGTGTTTGGGTCCAAGGACACAACTTATCTTGGGTACCGTATTTCTCGTGAGGGTTTGCAAGTTGATCCTGACAAACTTGTGGCTGTTCTAAAGTTCCCTACTCCGAAGTGTGTGAATGATGTGCAGCGCTTTTTGGGTAAGGTGCAGTATCTCGGTCGTTTTGTGGATCATCTTTCCGATCGCACTTTACCATTGCGAGCGTTGCTGAAGTCATCAACGTCATCTTTCATCTGGTCTCCCGATTGTGAGCGGGCGTTCGTGAATCTCAAAGAGCTATTGACGACTCCTCCGGTTTTGGCATATCCTGACTACACTCGACCTTTTATTTTGCGCGTGGATGCTTCTGACATTGGTCTTGGAGGTGTGTTGATGCAAGAGAGCTCGAGTGTGCCTAGTCAGCGCCATCCCATTGCATACATAAGCCGTACATTACAACCAGCGGAGATGAACTACTCCACAACGGAGAAGGAGTGTTTAGCAGTAGTCTGGGGTTTCGAGAAACTTCATGCCTATCTACATGGTTCTCGGACGTTACTTGAAGGTGACCATGCTGCTGTTACTTCATTATTGAAGCGGAAGAACCTGGTTGGTCGTACGGCTCGATGGGCTTTAAAGCTTCAGATATATGATTTCGATGTTGTTCATCGCCCAGGGAGTTCTATGGCTGATGCTGATGCCCTTTCTCGAGCTCCTCTTCCTTTTCCACTCACTTCTCATGTTTCTGACGAACCTGTTGTTCTAGCATCTGTGGATTTTCTAGATGAGGATTCTGTGCCGTCGGCGGTTGCTGTCCTTGACGTTCAGTGTCCACAGGGCGTAGAGCAAGATCTACCTTCTCTGGATGAGGTTCGCGAGGCTCAAAAGATTGAGCCGTGGATTCGAAGGCTTCGAGATGGGTTTGAGAATCCTGCATCACTTGCTGATGACTTGCCTTTTCTGCATTTACATTCTCAATATCGCCTTGAAGATGGCCTTCTTTATTTTGTGGGGACGGATCCTGATGCTCATTTACGGCTGGTGGTGCCTTCGGTGTTTATTCTGCGGTTTCTCCATGCCTACCATGATTCTCCTATTCTAGGTGGGCATATGGGACACCGTCGTGTCACCGAGAAGCTGCGCAGATCTTTCTATTGGCCAGAGATGCGACGTGATATTATCCGGTATGTGCGTAGCTGCGTTTGGTGCCAAGCTCGTAATACTCCCCCTTGTGCTGCGGAAGGACGGTTGGAGTCAATTGCAGTTTCTCGTCCGTTTGAGTTGGTGGCGTTTGATCTTATGGGACCTTTTCCGTGATCGACTGCTGGCAATGAGTATGTTATTATTGCTTCTGACTACTTGACTCGTTGGGTGGAAGTTGGTGCTCTTGCTAGTGCCTCTGCAACTGCTGTTGGATACTTCCTCCTCAATCGAGTGGTGTTCCAGCATTCTTGTCCAGAACGGATTCTTTCGGATAATGGTCCTGCATTTATGGCTGAGGTATTTCATGTTTTGATATCTTGGTTGGGGATACGCCACACTTTTACGAGTGCTTATCATCCACAATCAGACGGTCTGGTGGAACGGCTCGTTCGGACATTCAAAGGGATGATTGCGAAGTATGTGAACTTTCAACATTCGGATTGGGATGGTTATTTGCCGTCTCTTCGGTATGCTTATGTCACAGGGGTGCAAAGTTCTGTTGGTGCTTCACCATATAAACTTCTATATGGTCATGATCCAATATTACCAACAGAACTAGGTTTACCTTCGCGATTGCCACGAGCTCCTGATGCTAGGTCATGGGATCAATATTTGACAAGCATTCTTCCACTTGTCCGAGCAGAGTCTGCTGAACACTTGGGCCGCGTACAAGTGGGACAACAACGGCGCTACAATTCCCATCATCGTCCACCAGCGGAGTACAAAGTGGATGATTTGGTGTTAGTCCGTTTTCCCCATCTTACGGTACGTGGTTTATCTAAGGGGCTCCTTGCGCAGTGGAAAGGACCGTATCGGGTGTTGCGGCAAGTTGGACCACAAGTTTATGAGGTTCGGCATGACGTTCAACAGGCCGATCCTCCGGAGATTGTGCATGTGCAGCAGTTAAAACGCTTCATACAGAGGGATCAGGAGCAGTTAATACCGTCTACAGATCCACCGATGCCTCCTCCTAACGTTCCTCCAGATCCCGGCCCATCTACAAGAGAACCCTGACGGCCTTCCATTATTCCGAGAGGAGGGGATGATGTGAGGGCCAAGTGTACGGTTACGATGCCGTATACTAATATTAGCGTAGTGGATTTTGGTAGCCGTCGGATTGGTTTCAATCCGGACCACTCGCTCCTGTATATAAGCTAGGGTTTTTGGGTTAATTGATATGCACATTTCTGTATTCCCTTTCCATATTCCATGCACTCACAAATTAAATATTTATATTGACAATTATTTTAAAAAATATAAGTTTTATTTAGGATTTTTATACTAAAATTAATATTATTATTACAAATTTAATTTTTTTGAATAAAGCTTTATTTAAAAAATTGTATCTTTTTATTATTTTCTGCTGAATTTCTGTTAATGAGCCCAAGCTTGTAGTGAGATTCACACTTGCACTCATTGAGTGTAGCCAGGGGAGAGATCCAATCAGCCATGCAGTGCTTCGCATCCTCCATCACTGACTATGGGATCAATGCTACTACTTGGCCGATGTGCTTGCAGGAACCGCCAGGCCCAAGAGCTCCTCCATGTCATGCCAATCTCGGTGGAGTGGCTGCTTGCTGCGTGTATGGCTCTCGTCACGGAACACGTATGCTTGATTATCCAGGCCATCAAAGGTGGGATTGTACGTGGAAGAGCTTTGGAGAGGTAGATTTTTCCATCTCATTCACTGGTCTGCCTTCTCATTATGTTGCTGAATTTCTGCTCGGGGAGTAAAATTGCGGAATCAATGTTATCAGGGAGGCCTCGGTGCCTGCCGAGGAGCATGACTACGATCATGATGATTTTGGGAGTAACTCCCCACTTGCCTGAGAAGCTCACGGGCTCGTCCACACAGTAACCGGGCTCCGTCCTCAAGCTGCAGCTATATCCATACGACAGTCCCACGCCACCGTAAGCACTGCAGCAAAACCACGAAACTACGTCAAGCTGTTGGAGTGATCAATCTACAAATCATCAAGGAGAAGGGAAAAAGAGAAAACCTCACAGAAAGGTGTTTGAGCAACGAACCTGATGATCTCGAAGACGACACTGAAGATGTTGTAGTTGAGTGGATCGTGTTTGAGGCCGTGGTTCACTGAGACGCAAATGAAGAACGTTGCGAGGAAGAGATACGCCGTGTCCTGAGCGAGGAGCCTCCGGAATTGTGTCGCGAGGGTGGTGTCGAGGATGTCACGCTGCTTGCGGGCTGAGAGGTGAGAGATGGCGCCCTCGTCGTCGACGGACTTTTGTCTTGTGGCTTGCCGGGATAAGAAGACGGGGTAAGCCGAAACGTACCTACAGATGGAAGGAGAGAGCGAGCAAGTTAGAAGCAAGGGGAAAGAGTTTTCCAACTTACATCATGACAGCAAAGATGAAGAGCGTTGTGGGCGAAAGACCTGTGATGGCGACGGAGTTCATGCCGCCGCTACGAGTGTTGACACACTGAAAGATGCCGTTAACGATCTTCTCACCAGTATCAAGGCCGTCGAAGGCTGTGGAGTTCCAGTCGAGGATGTAGATGACGCAAATCTCAAACCCGTTCAATCCGAAAAAGGAGATGAGCAGCCACCTCGTCGTGTTGGGAGGAAAGAGATGCGTGTAGCACTTGCGGGGATGGTCGAGCAGGAACTCACACGCTTGCTTTGTATTGCCTTTGGAGAAGTGATGGAGCAGTCGGATGATTCCTCGTAGACACGGTGGGTAAATTCCGTTGCCGAGCATGATCAGCAGGATCATGTCGAGCAGCAGGACCAGCGACGAGTTGAAAGGCATCAAGTTCTCGCTGGAAGCGATGTATCCTACGTTGCAAAATGCCGAGACCACTGCAAAGAGCGAGAAGAATCCGAGGTTGGTCTTCTTTTTGTGCCGGATCAAGTTCCTGGGGTATGGCCGTCCGCAGAGAATGCTCAGCCAGGCGATGAAGAACCCCATGAGATGAACCAAAACTCCATAGATGACGATGATCCGGATCAGCACGATGGTGGCCTGGTGCTCCTGGAAAACTTCTGTCAAGTGCTCGGCCTGCCGCTTGGTAGCCATCTCGGCCATCCAGGCCTCGTCCTCGGCTCTGCGCTTGATCTTGCTGCCGAGTTTCTCGAGCACCTGCGAGCCTCGCTTTGCTACCATGCTCCACTTTGACGAAGCGTGCTGCAGCTCCTCCACCCGAGGCTCGGAGCGAGAGAAAGTTTCTGGAACCAAAACCTCTACGATCGGTGGTGTTGGTGGTCCGACCGGTTCATGGTCACTGGGATCGATGGCTATTCTGGCAACTCGACAGTAGCGGTGTTTCTTGACGAGCAATGGCACAGTGGAAGTCACAACTTGGCTGCCCAGCAACATCATGATCATGAGGACTACTTGTCCTCCGGGTGGAATGTCTTCTACAGGAACAGTGGTAAGTCCCGAGAGGCATAATGCCGACGTGATGCCATAGAAGCAGTCGACAAAAGGAAAATGCCCACCTCTCTCATTGCCGATACCCCATAGGATCAAGCTCCCGATGAATGCCACAATAACAAAGCAAGTTAAGTGGACTCGAAAGAAGGTCATGTGCTGCTGCAAAAAATTTCTGGTGTTTCTACCCTGCGAACAAAGCACGAGAATGGATCAAAATTGAAACAAAGAAAAATCTTTACCAATTGGGTATCATGACAATCTTTAAATGAATTCATTCCAAAAATTAATTCTTCCGATTGTGCTCAAATCATCCTGGCAAGTGAAGCCATTGCCATTGCGACCTCCATCTCGAGCTGAGACAACAGCACTTCTCGGAGTGCTTACGCCAAGATCCGCCCAACATTTAGCCCTAAAGCTAGACCTAATCCGCCCGACCTTTTCCCGCCCCTTGGGATCTTTTTAAAGCATTCGAATTCGAATTTAAAAATTTAAAATAACCCGCGGAAGAAGAATCTGATCCTTTCAAGATTGTACGCCAATGCTAGTACTACGGTTGTCCCGCTTCCGAGTCGCGCGGACTTGTTTTTTCTTTGTTTCTTAGAATTCCTGAGGAATCGTGAGTGAGTGACACTTACGGAGTGCCAAACTTTTGGAACAATTCGCACTAAAGAATCGATCAATCGGATCGGCCGCGCGAGAGAGCACTACGATGGCGTAAGCGTGAAACGTTTACGCGTTCTCCCCTTTGAATCTTTCAAGCCGGCGTTGTTTCATGTCGCTTTCGTGCTTGGCTTTGCAGGCACGAAGCGCGGATGTATAAATCCCTGTAATCGCCCCTCAATTGCCCATCAATCGCTCCCAATCGCTCTTACCTGAGTCTTCTTCTCTTCGCTTCGAATTTGCCCCTTTTGGTTTGAGCTGGGATTCTGCTAGAGATCATCAGGAAATCGTCATGGCTTTTCGCTCGTCCTTGATCGTCGTTCCAGCCCTTCTGGTCGTGCAGGCGATTGGAATGGCGATGGCTCAATCCGCCGATGCTCCAGCACCGCCCCCAGATTCCGGTGCCATGGCTTTCGCCCCAAGTCTAATTTGGATCGCAGCGTCTGGCCTCGCGTCGATGTTCATCGCCAGAACGCTCCATCTGTGAAGAAATTTGTACGATTCTATGATTCTTTTTCGCCGTTCTTGAAATAAATTGCCACTATAGGGCAAAACATTTTTACCCTTTGATGCGAATTTGCCCGAATCTGCGAATATTTGTTTAGGGTTCTTGGCGGAGATGGTGGACATGGCGGCCTTCGGCCAGGAAGGCTTCGATCCGAAGGCGTGGGTGAACGCTGCTTGCAGGGCGCGGCACCCCGACGAGGACGCGGAGCGGCAGCTGAGCGATCTCGAGATGAAGCTGCAGCTGGCGTCGGAGGATATTGCCGCCGCATTGGAGGATCAGAGCACGGCAGCGCTGCTGCGCATACCTAGGGCTCTCAGGGACGTGTCGCGGCTCCACGATGACGCTCTCTCGCTCAGATCCACCGTGTCGGGAATGCTCCTCAAGCTCCGAACGGTACGAAGTTTTCTTGCTTTCCTTGCTCAGATCCGGGCCCTGTTTTTTGATGGATTTTTGTCGGAAATTGCGAAGGCAGAGGGCCTATCGGCTGGATCCGTGGCTGCGCTCTCTCGAGTGGATCTTGTCAAGCAGAGAATGGAGGCTGCTCACAAAACTTTGAAGGTGCCATTGGTGTTGTTTACGTTTTTTTGTGACTTGGTCTTTGTAGACAGGATGCCGCAGGCCTGGCTCAACTCTGTGCGAGTGTCGAGACTGTCTTTGCGAGTGGGAATTTGGATGAGGCAGCAGGAACACTCGCAAACATGCGTCGATGCTTGGCTGTTGTTGGCGAGGTAAAGCTGTTCTTCCGGAGTTTCGAGATTAAAACTCCACGCGCAGGTTCCGGAATTCGCAAGTGTAAAGCGTGAGCTTGAAGCGCTGGAAAATCGGCTGGATGGGATGGTTCAAACGCGTCTTACTGATGCTCTTACTCAACGCAAGGTCTTGTGTTCTTTCCTTTTAAAGTTTTGTCTTTCCTCAATGGATATGTCTTATCAGGTGGAATCGGTTCAAGCTTTCCGAGCTATACTGCTAACTATCGGGCGCTACAATTCGCTAGAACAGCAGTACAGTAAGGTTCGATTGAAGCCATTGCGTCGACTCTGGGACGAATACGAGAGTTCAACTGACGGTGTCGGAAGTGGCAAGCCTTTTATAGAGTGGCTTCCTACTTTTTACGATCAAGTTCTGCTTACGTTAGAGCAGGAATTGAAATGGTTTGGCAGTGCTTCCTTTTTTGATAGTGGGATCTCATGATGGATTGTTACAGGTGTATGACTTGCTTTTCGGAGGACTACAGCCGTTTAATCTCGAAATTGTTGATAGATACTATGTCCTCTATACAGACCAGCTTTACTGCTCGTATCGAGGCCAGCATCACACCAGGTTTACATTGCTGTATTTTTTGTACTTTTATCTTAGAGAGCTGAAAGCTGGTCTTCGTTGCAGCGCAAACATTACAAAGGCCGCCTTTAAACATCATTTTGATGCTTCATAATATCACATCTTCATTTGCAAAGAATGTAGAGCGGCTGTTCTCAGCTGCCGACCATCAAGAGATGATGCGAGTTTTGAAAGCTGTATATTCTCCTTATGAAGGTTACAAGCAAAGGTACGCCAACTCTTCACCATTGTCAGTGCATAACGTGTCTTACAGGTATGGAGAGTTGGAACGGGTGCAGCTATCCTCAAATCTTAGTTCTCTGGACTTGAAAGGTGCTGTTCAGCGATCTGTTGGCTCTCGTGGAGTGGAACTTAGCGAGACAGTGCAACGAATGGAATCTTCAGTTCCAGAGCTCATCACCTTTTTCGAGAGTGCGGTTGAGCGATGTTTCAACTTCACTGGGGGTTCTGAGGTTGAGGCGCTCCTTCGCGCGTTAGATGAAACTATGATCCAGTACACTTCCAGCTTGCATGAAGTTCTCAAGTCGTTGCGACCGGTCTGTGGGGTTTCACAGGTTTTCGACTCTACAAAAAAGGATTCTCTTGACGGAAGCATTAACAAGGGCAAAGGAAATCAGGACATGATTCCCGAAGAAGAAGAATGGGTGATAGTTCAAGGAGTGCTGCAGCTATTGACCGTTGCGGAAAGTCTCAGTGGTCGACTATCTGTCTTCGAGGCAAGCTTACGTGGAACACTTTCAAGGCTTAAGAATCAGTTGCCTGGAAGTAGAGAAGACGGTGCCAATGCGTTGCTGGATATAGCCGGCCTGAGATTATTGGATGCGCCAGATAAAGCACGAAAGCTTGCATCACTCGTGGAACAGGTAAATCTCTTTTCTAGTCCTCATTCACGTAGAAACATATGAATTTTTGTGTGATTTCATTTACAGGCGACCGACCCTCGTTTCCATGCTCTTGCTCATGCATCCCAGAGAGTTGGAGCTTTTGTTGACGCGGCGAATGAGCTCGTCTACGAAGTTCTCATTTCTAAGGTGCGAGTAAGGCTGGCCGACGTGGCCAGTATGCCTGTGTGGAGTGCTCCGCAGGAAGACAACCCGTACGCCTTGCCATCTTTCAGCGCGTATCCGCTGCCTTACGTGACTAGCATCGGAGAGTACCTTCTCACGCTCCCGCAGCAGCTAGAACCATTAACTTCATCGATGACAACCTCTGATACATCGGACGACATCAATGAAGAAGGCCAATACTTTGCGACAGAGTGGATGTTCAAGGTTTGTCGGCTCTGAAAATTCCATGGAACGTTTTCTCAAAATGGATGTTTCAGGTGGCTGAGGGAGCGACTGCTCTGTACGTGGACCAGATCCGTGGTATTCGCAATCTGAACGAGCGAGGAGCTCAACAGTTATCTGCGGACATCGACTATCTCTGCAATGTCCTGACAGCTCTGTCTATGAACGTCCCTGCTGTGTTGTCCACATTCCAGCAATGTGTAGGTGCAACCCGCGAGCAGCTCGCAGAATTTACCAAAGGCGTTGGCCCAGACTTGGATGGTCCAACTGTTCGTCTCGTGTGTAAGATGCGCCAAGTTCTGGTAGAGTAAGCCTTTCATGCTAAAAAAACAATATTTTTTCTTTGTCAAGTTGAGCTTTACTCACCCCCCGCTTTGGTGAGACTGCGACGCCTCGCCTCGGCCTTGGAAATAGAAAACGATAAAGCCACAGTTCTCGCTGGCCTCTGGCTCCACTTTAGCGCACTGTACACCCAGGTGAGCTTTTATCGCATTCTTCCAGGCTTTAATAGAAAAACTCCATACTTTTGCAGAGCTGCCGGCATTGAATTTTGAAATGGTAAAACAACTAAGAGCGAGCATCTAGATCCATCCCTTTGCAAAAGAGAGGATCGTGCTGCAGCTTCTTGAGCCCATCCAACGAGGCCAAAGAGTAGTCCGCCACCGCGCACCTCTTGTCAAGCCACTCAGTGATGTCCTGGAACACCAAGTCGACGTTATGGTCGGGCTCGCCGGTGGTGAGGCCGTGCCACATCCCCGAGTAGATCCGGATGGTCTTGTCCGAGCTGCTGGCCGCGGCGTAGAGCTCCTTGCTGATGGCCGGGTCCGTGACGCGATCATCCTCGCCATGCAACACAATGAAAGGCATCTTCACCTGGCCGAGCAGCTTCTCCAGCGACAGGCTCGTCAGCAGCAGCTCCACGGCGGTCTTGAGGATCATTCTATCGGTGTATATATACGGGTTACTCCGGATGGCCCGGCGCTTGCGCTCGTCCTTGAACGACTGCTCGATCACGTCCTTGATGGGAACCACCTTCCAAGTCGGGATGAGAGCGGAGAGCTTGATGAGCAGCCACCGCAGCCACGGTGTCGGGAGCATGTTCTCGGAGATCTTACACATCGGCGCAACGAGAATGGCACCGCTCCAGCAGTTGGAGGAATCTCCCGGGCTCTGGGAGCCGCCGCCGCCGCCGCTCCGCCGCTCCAGCAGCAGCGCCACCGCGCCTCCCATGGACTCACCGTAGAGGAAGGCCGGCTTGCCAGCGAACTCGGGCCGCGAGCGAACCGAGTGGAAGAAGTCGTGGCAGTCGTCCACGATGTCGTCGAAGCGGCGGATGTAGCAGCGCATCCCGTCGCTCTTGCCGTGGCCTTCGTAGTCGATGCCGAAGACGCAGTAGCCGGCGGCCGCGAGCTTCTCCCCGGCCTTGCTCATGAAGACGCTGCACTCCATGCCATAGCCGTGGCACAGGAAGACGAGAGCTTTGGTGGCTGCTGCCGAGGATGGCGTCCAGCTGCAAGTGGAGAGCTGGATCCCGCGCCGGCTCTGGAACACGGCCTCGCTCTTCACCGCCACCGCCGGCATTCTTCTCTTCTTCTTCTTCATGCTCGTCGCTTTCGTTGCTCCACAATGCTTTAGCCGCTCGTTCTTCTCGCGACACGGCAATATAACTTCGCACCGGTGTCTGGAAAAAAGTTCGTGCCGAAATTTACTGCCCCGGTTTGAAGTCACGCAGGAAGAATAAATCTCCGTAGCGGCGCACTAAAGAACGAAGTTCGTGGTCGCTGACTTGGGTTGACGCCTTGTCATACAGTTTAAAGCGTTGACTAACACTCCTAGTCAAAGACTATTGACTAAAATATTTACGGACTGTTTAGTCATCAATGTTGACTGATTAGTCAACGCATGGACTAAGATTCACCAGAAATCTCCGCAAGAGCACCTCCCGTCCCGGAAGACGTGGAAGCGGCTCATGTCCCGGCAGATGATCTCGCGCCCTTCCACCCTGGAGATGATCGCAGTGGCTTTGTGGCAATCGTCACACACCCGGAGGCTCTTGACGATGCGGATCGGCGTCCCCGGGGTCGAGTTGACGAGCGCGCAGCAGATCGCCAGCCGCTCGCTGTGGCCGCACAGCGCCGACTCCTTGGCATCGTCCGGGACGTTGTGGAGCAGCGAGCTCTCCAGCCCGGGGACGTATCCGGCGGTCTTCATCGCCATCGTCAAGCTCTTGAGCCTGGCCTGGATCGCTGCGTTCTGCGGGTGGCTCGAGTCCCCCGCCAGGAAGCAGTGGAGCTTCCCGGCCCCGTCGCTCCACCAGCTCTGCCCGGCCTTCCTCACGGCTCCCTGGATCCTGCTCGACGAGTGGAGCTTCAGGCTCTCGTCCCACATTCCCGCGGCGGCGTAAGTGTTGGCCATGAGCACGTACGCCGAGCCGTCTTTCCTGTCCAGTCTCTGGATCTCCTCGAAGGCGAGCTTGGCGAGCTCGACGTTCTTCCACTTTCTGCAAGCTCCCAGGACTGTTCTCCAGATCGCGGGGCTCGGCCTGTAAGGCATCGTTTTGAGCACGGCCACTGCCTCGGCCAGGTGATTGGCTCGGCCAAAGAGATCCACAATGCAAGCGTAGTGCTCGATCCTCGGCTTGATGTGGTAGCTCGGCGAGGCCATAAGTTCGAAGAGCTCCTTCCCCTTGGAAACGAGGCCCGCGTGGCTGCACACGTTGAGAAGGCTGAGGAAAGTGATGCCATCGATGTCCACTCGATCGTTTCCACTTTGCATGCTCTCGAATAGCTCAAAGACTCGTTGGCTATCTCCTTGGTGTGCATATCCTGCTAGAAGTGCGTTCCAAGTCACTAGCTGCTTGTAAGGAAGTGAATCAAATACCTCTTGAGCGTCCACCATGCTACCGCATTTACCGTAGAAACCGATCAGAGAGCCTGCGATTGCTCCACACTCTTGAACCAGTCCGGCCAGGATAAACTCGTCGTAAATCATTTTCCCAACTTTCAGACCCCCGATACTTCCACAAGCCTTCAGAACCACCACCAGAGTCACCTCGTTTGGAGCCAGACCTTCCTCTAGCAAGCGTCTGAAGTAGAGCACACCGAGCTCGGGTTCTCCACACTGAGCATAGCCGAGAATCATAGCGTTCCACGAGACCACGTCTCGTTCTACGATCTTCTCGAAGAGCCTCTGAGAGTCGGTCATGCTACCACACTTTGCCAACGTATCTAGCATTGTGTTAGTAACTTTGCTGTCGGGTCCATAGCCGCTAGTCGCAGCTTCACTGTAGATCAGTTTCCCAAACTCCAGGCATCTAGCTTTGATAATCTTCCCGTCTTCTGGTCTTCTACTTCCTTCTTCTTTCCCGGCCATGCAGGAGCACGCTTTCAGTGCTGCAACGAAAGCTAGTCCGTCCGGAGTCACACCATCTTCTTGCATCCGAACAAAAAGGAGAAGAGCTAACTCTCCTTCACCGCACTGCGTGTATCCCAGAATGATGGAGTTCCAGGAAACCACATCCCGGATCTTCATCCCGTCAAAGACCTGTGAAGCTCTCTCCACGCATCCACACTTGGCGTACATGTCCACCAGAGTGCTTGCCACTTTGATGTCAGCTTCAAAACCGGAGATTTTCGCTTCGGAGTGAATCGCAGCTCCTCTTTCCAAGTTCCTCACTTTGACAAGTTTCCCATCTACCTGTCGTCCTTCTTCTTTCACTGCACAGCTTGCACAGGCCTTCAAAGCAGCAACGTAAGTCTGAGAGTTGGGAGCAACACCTTTCTCTTGCAGCCGATCGTATAGTTCCAGTGCCAAGTCTCCCTCATTCACATCCGCGTAGCCGAACAGCATAACGTTGTATGAGACCACATCGTGAAGAGGCATCCTCTCAAAAACCCGGTACGCGTCTTGCAAGCTTCCACACTTTGCGTACATGTCCGCCAGCTTGTTGGCGAGGATAATGTCGCAAGTTTGGCCACTGCTCACCACCTGGGAATGTATCTCCATACCTCTCTCCAGGCACCATGCCTTCGCAGCTTTGCCTTCGACACACCGCCCTTCTTTATCCGCTAGCTCGCCACAGGCCTGCAAAGCAGCCACAAAAGTCCGCGCGTTAGGCGTGAAACCAGCCTCCAACATCTGAGAGAAGAGCCTCAGAGCAGTCTCACCTCGATCGCTTTGAGCATAGCTCATGATGATCGCATTCCACGAGACAACGTCGTGGCTCTTCATCCGCTGGAAAACCCGGCAGGCATCCTCCAAGCTCCCACACTTCGCGTACATGTCCACCAGAGTGCTTGCCACCTTCAAATCCGATTCATGCCCGCTCTCCACAGCTCGAGAGTGGAGCGCTCTTCCCTTTTCCAGCCACTGTGCTCGCTCTACTCGACCATTCTCCTCGTCTTGGATCTCCTCTGCACAGGTAGCACAAGCTTTGAGCGCGGCAACGTAAGTGAGAGCATTCGGCTTGCCTTGGAGAAGTTCTTTGTGGATCCGCCGGAAGAGCTCTAGCGCTTGCTCGCTCTGGCCAACCTCCACGTATCCAAACATGAGAGCGTTCCAACTCACGGCATCGCGCTCCACCATCTTGTCGAAAACTTCCCGAGCTTCCAAAACGCTGCCACACTTAGCGTACATGTGAACTAGCGTGTTTGCCAGCGTCAAGCCGAGCTCTTCACCTCTTGCTAGAGCTGCTAGAGCCTGGCTATGAATTCTTCTCCCTCTTTCCAGCCACTCCAATCTCTGGGCCTCCTCTCCATCGGCGCAGCTCACGCAGGCCTTGAGCGCTGCCACGAAAGTGAGAGGATTTGGCGAGAATCCATCGTCTTGCATCCGCTGGAAGAGCTCCAGCGCCTCGCGCGGCCCTCCATTCTCTGCGTAGCCAAAGATTAAAGCGTTCCATGATACCACCGAGAGGTGAGAGATGGAATCGAAGACCGATCGTGCATCGCGCAAGCTCCCACACTTTGCGTACATGTGGATCACACTGTTCTCCACATTGCTGTTGGCGATAGCGCCGCTTCCACTCGATTCCAAGAACGAGGCGTGGATCCTGGCGCCCGCCTCCAAATCCCTCACAGCGCTACAGGCCTTGAGTGCCGCCAGGATCACGGGAGCGCCGGGAGCGATCCTGGTGCATTGCTCGATCGGATACCTCCAGCTTCCAATCGCGACGAGAAGAGACTTGCTCATACATTTCCCCAGGAAGGAAAAATATTTTAGGGTTCTTGAGAAGAGAATGGGGGCTGATGGAGAGAAGGATCGGCAGGCGCCGCCTCTCAAAGGCCGATTGCTGGCGCGCCTTGCTGTGTTGATCGTCCGCCACGCTGCGCTCGTCAGGTGAGGCGATCTCTAGTTGTGAATCATCTGTGAAAATCTTCCCTGGAATACCCTGCCAGTTTTGTGTGCTGCGTTGCGGGGATCGTGTCGCTGATGCTCCTGCCAGTGCTCGCGAAGTCTGTCTATGTCGACGAGAATGCGCTGTTGCCAGGTTTGAATACTTTTCTTCTCCAATTTTTATCCGATCGATCTCGTGATTCCAGGCTCGGCTCGAGCAACATTCTCTCATTATGATACCTTGAAGGCGCACGATCTTGCTCGCGAGATCCAAACGCTACTCTCGAGCAGCACTGATCCTCAAAAGTCAGTGCTATTGCTCTCTCACAGTCTATGAAAACTTTAATCTTTTTCTTTGGTCGTGCAGAGATTTTCGGAAGTGGCTGGGTGATCGTTTGGATGCTCTTGGAGCCGACTACTACTTTCATTGTTTTTGTCCTCCAACCCGGTCCTTCTCCATACTCGGGTTTCTCTCGACGTCATATACTTACGAGGCCAGGAAGCACTGCCTGGTCGATGGACGCGAGCAAACTCCTGGTGTCAATGCGGTTGGGATACTCAGAGCTCATCAAGGGGACGGCAACGAGGCCATTGTGCTGGTTACACCCTTCGAGTTGGAGAATCTTACGGCGGAGAACGCCATCGCCATGGGTTTATCTCTGTCGCTACTAGATCTTCTAAGTCGGACTCTTTGGCTGGCAAAAGACGTCGTTTGGGTTGCCGCGGACAGCAAGTATGAGAAGTACACGGCAGTTGCTGCGTGGTTGAAAGAGTACCATGAACCTTTGGTATCAGATTCTTCGTTCGAGGGGATGCACTATACACAGGATGGTAACAGTTCCAGGGACATTTTTTTCAAACGAGCAGGAAGCATTACAGCCGGGTTTGTCTTGGAGTTTACTCGTGGTGCTGGTGCTACTAAAGTGAGTTCTTTGGAAATCCACGCTGAAGGCTCAAACGGGCAGATGCCGAACATGGATATGATCAGCGTCGTCAACCTGTTGGTCTCCTGGCGGCAACAGTTCCATTTAACGCTTGAGGGTGTGCCGAGGATCAAAGATTGGCAGTGGCTAAGAAGTGTTGGATACGTCTTTGAGGTTGTCGGGAGAAAAGCTGCTGAGCTTCGGAAGGCATTTCTTTCTCATGCTAAAGCGAGCTTCACTACAGCTGAGGACTACGTGAATGGAGTTTCTGTTCTCTTGAGATCCTGCTGGAACCAAGTACGTATTTACCGTGTCGAGTATGTGAACTGACGTGTTTTATGCAGATGCTAGGAGTTCCAACAGGTTCTCATGGAGCCTTTCGAGATTTCCAACTCGATGCTGTAACTTTGGAAGTGGTCTCTACAGATCTGGAGCATAATATGGACTTCTTGACGAACTTCGGAAGGTAAGCTTTCATTTGACTACATTGAACGGGATCGTAAAGTCCCCGGTGGCTTGCAGGCTGATTGAAGGTGTTCTGCGATCAGTAAACAACCTGCTTGAAAAGTTCCATCAGTCTCTTTTCCTATACATCATGGTCTCTCCCAACAAATTCGTGTCCATCAGTACCTACATTATCCCCTTCGGTCTCCTCCTCTCGAATTTTCCCATACAGGCAGCAGCGCTCTGCACTAGTGTCAAAGCTACGCCTGGCTCCTGGACTCAAGCAATCCTTGTTGCTATTCTCGTTGAGACATGGTCCCTGGGGAACGCGATCTGTCCAGCCATTCTTTTCCATCTATTTTCTTCTGCTCCCACAAGGTTGGCTGTTTGGATTCTCCTGTCCGGCTTGTGCCTTGCTCCGGTTTTTTGTCTTAGATCTGATGCACACGCTTCAGATGATTGGTACGTGCCACTAAAATCCTTAACTCTGGGTCTAACCGGCATTGCTCTGGGAATCCTTTCCGCCGTAAACTTCTCCGTAGCTCTGGCCGGTGCATTGCTTTTGGTTCCTATGTGCCTTTCTGCTCAGCCTTTGAGTTCTTCTTGGAGAGCGCTCTGGAAGCCCAAGTCTGGAGTCATTTCTCGCGTAAACGCGGTGCTTGCGCCCGCTCTTACGTGCTTTCCTCTACTTGTAGTTTTAACCATACTGGCGAGAGAGTCAGCCGGTTTGTGGAGCTTCGTCGAGCTGATGTGGTTTTGGGGAAGCGCCCTCTACGTGTCAGCTTTCGTGGTCTTTTTACCCTGTTCAATCCTATGCTTATATATTTTCTTTTCGTGAACGATTCAGGTGAAGTTGGCAACTGTCTTATAACTGTCAAGAACTTTAGTTATGTGTTCTGCAGAAGCCGCCGAATTAGAAGGAGCAGCACTGCATCCAAATGTCCTACAAGGTGGAAGACAGGTCTCCTGGACCAGCTGCTTACAATCCCAGTATAAAACCGGTTGTCCGTTCTCCTCCGGCCTTCACCCTCGCTGCAAAGCGTCGACCACCTCCCAATGAAGATTGGAAGCTGGGACCAGGCATGTACCATCCAAGGCTCGGCCCAACGGGACCGGCTTTCAGCCTGAGCACGAAGGGGACTCCAAACCTGGACCTGGAGAAGATGTGGATGCTGGAACGCTCGCGACATCCATCTCCTCGAGGCAACACCAACGCATGGACTCCTAGACGTTTTCTCCTGAGCGAGGTGACACCGGGGCCTGGCACTTACTCCCTTCCAAACAAGAACAGCGGGCCGGCCTTCACTGTGGCGTCCAAGCGGACCACCAAGCACGACACGGATGCTCCGGGTCCAGGCACTTACTTCTACTCGGCAAGGCCGCAGAGTCCCTCGTTTACAATGGCCAACAGGTTTCCTCCATCGAGGACGTGTAACCCGGGACCTCGGACGGTCTATGGCGACTTTTACAACACTCCAGGCCCTGCGCAGTATAACCCGGACAGAGGCAAACGTGTTGCTGGCAGGAGCGGTCCGGCCTTCACAATGACAGGGAAGTGGCACCGAGGACCGGATAGCGGGCTTCCGGGGCCTGGAACTTACTTTCCTCCTCAGAACAACACATTCGGTCAGGATATCGGGTGCCAGCATGGGCGAAAACTACGTTCCAGGTAGTGTTTGGAAGAAGAACTGACACAAGCATTTGATTCCAGGGAGAATTAAGTAACAGCAGGATTGAATAACTTGTTAACTTGTAGCACCAAAACTTGGGAGCTTAAGCCTATTGGTTGGAACTCGTGGCTAGCCTTCGGAATTCCACCTTGCCGGTATAGCATAAATGTGGCTACCTGAAACACTCATCCAGAGTGTGGTTCCTCGTGAAAACTCACGCCTCGGTCGATCTATAGTTCATGTAAGAACTTCTCCTATTGGCGAGAACAAGCAGCGTTACGACTTTGGGAGCTATGGAGCTGCGATTTGCTGCCGTGATATGCGCTCTCTTTCTCGCTACGTCTACAACTTTTGTATCGGGTAAAGCAAAACTTCACAGTTCTTTTTCTACGTTTCTTTTGATCGATGTACTTTCATCTTAGGACTCGTGAAAAGCGAGCAAGAGCTGATCGAAGCTCTGCGCTCCAGCAGCCGGATCGTCGTGGGCCACTCCATTACCATCACCAAAGAGCTGCCGACCATCACGAAGTGCGTCACGCTCACTGGCCATGCAAAGTCATGCAAAGACGCGAGCTGCTACATCGATGCCCAGCGCAAGTCTCGTCACCTCGCTGTCTCAGGCGAGGGCGGAAGGCTCTCGCTCTACAACTTGGAGCTCCGGAATGGTAAATCCGGTAACGACGACGGTGGTGCCATTCTCGTCTCCGACGGGGGAACTCTCGAAGTCAATAGTGCCGCTTTTATTAACAACGAAGTTGCCATGGTAAGAGTTACATATTTGCCATCCAGCTTTCTCAACTAACGAGTATTTGCTGGTTTCACAGTTTTCCATCGGAGGTGCTATTGGCGTTAGAAACGGGAGTGCGGCCGACATCTACAAGTCTCTGTTCGTGAAAAACAACGCTGGCTTTGGCGGTGCTGTTGGAGTCTCTGAGAATAGCAAGGCGGACATAAGAAGCTCGGCCTTTCGACACAACATCGCTAGTCTCAGTGGCGGAGGCTTAGAGTTCTTGGCCACTTCGGCAGGATTCCTCGCGGACAATACTTACGAGAACAACTCGGCTTCGGTAAGCTTGAAGTGCTGTCTCAAAATTTTCACTTTCTATTCTCTCTTCCAGCTTGGAGGAGCCACCACTGCTCACGAGAGCACAATCAACGTGTGCGGAGCGTCCTTCATCCAAAACACCGGGAGCCTTGAGGGTCCAAACATCATGGCCGAAGGTGGCTCCACCGTCACTGTTTGCAGAGCCAGTTCGGCCGACGTTTCCGGCACCGTTGCTTCGGAGGACTGTGCTCCGTGCAACGCTGCTTTGAGACCTTCGCCGGGAGTTCGAGGAGATCCCCATATCCGTGGCCCTCACGGTGAAACATTCGATTTCCGCGGTACTCCCGACCAGAGCTATTGTCTCATTTGGGACGGGGACTTGCAGCTCAACATGAGGATCATGACTGCCACAGGCAGCTCAACTGTGAGTACTCTTTCATTTATTTTTATGAAGTTACGTTTTTTTTTTTCCGCAGTATATCAGGGAACTCGGGCTTGTCTATCGAGACCAGACTGTGTGGTTATCTTCCTGGAGCAGTGACGGTGGCACCAAGCATCAAGGAACGCTTGTTATTAACAAGGTATTACTCTGAAGGCATGGTTTTCTGGCGCTTAATCTCTGCCTTACCAGATGGAAATGCCTATGGAATCCACAACTTGGAACTTTCTCAACAATCTCTTGGTCTCACGGACAAGAAACGAGGTGATGGTTTTATGTTCTTCATTGTTGAAGGCTTAACTGTTTTTTGGTTGCAGGTGATAGTGGAGGTTGCCAAACGCATTCGTCTGAGTTTCAAAATCTCCAGGCCAATTTACGAAAGGCCTAGTTTCCTAAATGTTGAGGTAAGCTCCTTCCAGCCCAGGCTACTGCTGGTAGACGGGATTTTTGGGAAGTTGTATGGTAGCTTACAAGGCTCGGCCCAATTCAATGGCCGCGGCAAGTTCAAGTCACTAGTAGACCCAGAGAAGTACAGGGTGGCGGACATTCTTAGTTTAAATTGAGATACAAAAGAATTCGATAAAGTTTATGAAAGTTTATAATATGAAGAAAAAGAAACACTTATATGGAAAAGAACACATTAACTTAATCCCAATTGATTACGACTAATCCCAGAGGTTAGGGCTAGGGTTAGGGTTGGCAAAAAGGTTCATTTTCACCCGTTGTTTAAAATCTAGGGCACCGCCTTGGTTTTTTTCTTGGAGGGCCTCGCGAGCATGGTATTTGCGTTCTTTCTCTCGCCTTGAGCTTCTATGACTCTCTCTCTCTCTCTCTCTCTCTCATCATCTTTCAGGGCAGGTCGCCGAAGCGCAACAGGTAAAGAAATTTGCGTGTCTTTCTCTTCTTTTCTTCGCTGTTGAAGCAAGAATCTCCTCTCGTTTCTTCGTCTCCCAGATACAGCTCGTCGCCGCGATCTCTTTCACGAAGCCCCGTCAGGTGTGTTTCTTTGGCAAAATGCCGATGGCATTCTCTTTTCTTTGTGATTTTCTTCTCTCTTGGATTTGGTTTTTTTTCCTTCTTCTCAGGGACCGGGATGTTACTGCGAATCCTGGTAACAACTTGTATGTGACTGGGCTTTCGACGAGAGTGACGGAGTCATGGCTCGAAGAGTACTTTGCCAAGGAAGGCAAGGTGAGCCTTTACTTATTGTTTTTTTTTTCTTCTTCTTCTTTCCAGGTTATTCACTCCTTCGATTGAAACAACCAGGTTATAGAATGCTGCCTGGTAACTGATCCTCTTACTAGAGAGTCCCGAGGCTTTGGATTTGTGACGATGGACACAGTTGAAGATGCCGACAGGTGCATCAAATATCTCCATCGGTCCAACTTGGATGGACGCTCCATCACCGTGGAAAAGGTACAAAAATTCATCTTTAGAGCTCATTTCTCTCCTTTTCTTTTCTGTTTTTTTTCTTCCTCGTGTATGTGACACTCTTGTTTTTTTTTTTTTTTTTTTTTTCCTTCTTCTTCTTTCTGAAATGCTCTTATGTTTGTCTTATTTCCCTCGTCCAGAGCTGTTTTGGTGTCTCAAACATCATCGGAACCAACCAACCAGCTAGCCAAACTGATTGAACAAGCAGCTCGATCAATTGATGAGCTTCTATGTTGCAGGCCAAAAGAAAACGCGCCCGGACTCCAACTCCTGGCAAGTACCTCGGCGTGAGGAGTGCGAGAGAAGTCTGTAAGTTCCTTCGCTTCTCAAGCCTCTGTTTCTTTCCTTTTTTCTTACGTCTCTTTGATGACTTCCATGTTTGATTTCCACAGCCTACTCAAGGAGACGCAGCGAGTACAGGCATTCTTCAAGGAGGGGATACTCCCCATCTTCTCGTGGCAGAAGGGAACGCTCAGCGTCGCCTGGCTACTCTCCCTACCGGAGCCCTCGACGAGGCCGCTCGTACCGACGTAGCTCATACTGCTCATCGCGATCGAGGTCGGCGTCATCATACTAAAGATAAAAAAAAGAGTCCATAGGTAAACACCGTTCTCATTTTGGCATCGTTATCCTCAGGTATAGAGAATTCAGTGATCTAGTGAGCTTGTGTTTGTGGATCTAGAGCGATGGAGGGCCTTGTGACACACAAAGGCGGCTGCCACTGCGGCCGCGTGCGGTGGGAGGTGGACGCCGCGGCCAGCGTTGTTGTGTGGGAGTGCAATTGCTCCAATTGTGCCATGCGAAGGAACACGCATTTCATTGTTCCCGAGGCCAGGTTTCGGCTTCAGCCCGGCTCCGAGGAGTGGCTCTCGCTCTACACGTTTGGGACGCACCAGACCAAGCATCTGTTTTGCAAGGTGTGTGGGATTTGCTCCTACTTTAAGCCGCGCATCAATCCGGACGTGGTGGCTGTGACTGTGCATTGTGTGGATCCTGGCACGCTGCGCGACGTCCAAGTCAAGTGCTTCGACGGAAAGAATGACGCAACGTCTCTTACTGCCTCGGACATAAGCAAGCTGTCTAAAGGAGAGAACTGAGACATTAGTCATTAGTTCAATCCAATAACCTTAAATTATTTCTGGACTCCTTGTGGTTTGAGAGAGAGAGGAACGGTGGTTGCTGGTTGTTTTAAGCCTTGACTCTAAATATGTACACTAAGAGGAGCGTATTTTATTTCAGACGAACTCAGAAAGACACTGTGATTTCTAAATGATTTTTCTGAGTTTTTCTTGATGTTATTTCTTTACTTTTAGACTAGAGACTGGTAAAAACGAATGACAAAATAATGGCGATAGAGTCAATACCGCGGGACCAGCTTACTGTGTTCCACTATGACTTTGCTGGTTTGCAATATCCAGGCATGGCAGTAGAAATTTCCTCCATCTCGGACTGTAACACAATCTTATTCCTAATATACGCAGCTAGCATTGCATTCTAGGCGACCATGCTTGGATCGGCGAGAATCTCCATTGGCAAGCAAAAGCGGCTATCATCGACGTCCAGGACTTAAGATCCCGCATAAGGAGCTGCATCGATTAACGAACAGATTTTAGTTTGAGCATCGATCGACGCCATGACCAGAGTTTTTCAGCATGCAAGACTCAGCCCGGATCAACCCACGCATTGAAGAGAAAGCGTGCTCTAATCATGACATATGTGTCAAGCATAGTAAAAAGAAATCCCTTGATCCAATTCGATTCAAAGAAAATGAATTAGTTAGAAAGGAAGAACAAGAATCAACACACTAATTTTCGTAGCCATTCTTATCAAGGTTAAAATATTTTCAGGGGAGGAATACTCGTCCATCTATCTAAGGAGTGAATAAACCGTCAATCGATTGCGTAAGGCGGGCGCCGCGTCATCAACAGATTTGGTATACGCAACTCGTATTGGGTTCCGTGTACTAGCAAGCGAGCCCATCCGTATTGATATTATTTTATTTGCTGCCGGAGGAAATGAATGAAACGGATAATTGCCGTTTGCTCCGGGGATATCTCGGGAGGGGGCTTGTTTGAAGGCCTAAAATTTGGATCAGGCACGCACTCCACTTTTTTTTTCTTGACAATTGAGAATAACAAGAGTATATCTCCAAATCTTTGCTTGCATTGTTTTTTCTTGTAAAATCAAAACATATATAAAAAATCACAGCTTGACTGAAATTCTCGTGCTCAGTGTTTCACTTTGACTTTTCTTCTTTCAGCTTGCTGCTGAGTCTATAAGACCAGAAATTGAAATTTAAGCCAAGAAAAAACTTACAAAGATTTCTACTCGAGCAAAGATAGTGGCGCTCTTAATTAGGGCTTGAAAAACTATCACCACCTTTACGCTTTATAAAGAAGTTAAGGACGAATAACAAGCACAATACTAAGAAATCAAGGTACCTGCTGAAAAGAGTCTCTATGGCTTGCAAAAGTGATGCCACTTGTAACAGTTTCTTCGTAGTACCTGTTGGAACGATACAAAGCAAACCTCGAGCTTTGATTATCAAACAGGGCCTGCACGATGATGTGGATCGGCTCGCCAGCTAAACAGCTAGCTTGCTTGTACGTGTTTGATATAAATGAAGTCTCATTATAAACTTTGTCCAGCTCCATAAGTTCTGGTCATCAAGGTGAAGGCCGAGGATGTGGTAAAACCCATTCTCTGTAGTGCGTCGAATGCAAGCGCTCCCACCACCAAGTTTTGCCGCTTCCAGCACTCGTTGAGAATGATCGTCCAGGCCACGGCATTGGCTTCCACAGGCATGCCTCGCACCATAGCCACTGCGTCATCGAGCTGGTTTGCTCGACAAAGCACATCGATCATGCAGCCATAGTGCTCGATACCAGGCGTCACGGCAAACTTGGACGACTCCTCCATTGCACGAAAGATCTTCCTCGCCCTCTCAACCATCCCGGCATGGCTGCAAGCGTTGAGAAGCGAGACGAAGGTGACACTGCTGGGCCTTAGATCCTCGTCTTGCATGGCGTAGAACAATGCAAGAGAATTCGTGTAGCTCCCCTGGCTGCTCCATCCTGCTATCAATGCGTTCCAGGTGATCACGTCCCTTGTAGAAACCGAGTCGAACACTTGGCGAGAGTTGTCTAGACTGCCAAACTTTGCGTAGAAATCTATGAGCGACGTTGCTAGAACAGCATCGCTTTCAAGGCCTCTCCTGCATAGCTCACCATGGACTCTCTTCCCAGTTTCCAATCTTCTCGCCACTCCACAGGCCCTCAGTGCGAGGCCAAGAGTCGAAGCATTCGGTTCCAGACCACCGCGAGCTTTCATTTGCTCGTAAGTCTCGAGAGCTAGCTCCCCTTGCCCACTTTCTACGTATCCCAGAAGCAGTGTGTTCCAAGTTGCCACCTCCGGACGCTGGATCGCAGCAAAAACCCTGCGAGCATCGTCCATGCTCGAGCATCTCACGTACATGTCGACTAGAGCGCTGGCCAGGAACTTGTTCGAAACAAATCCTTGTTTCGTAGCTTCGAAGTGGAGAGCCATGCCTCTCTCCACGCACACGAGCACTTTCGTCTCCCTGGATTCTTTCGCTGCTGCCAAGCTAGACCCGCAAGCTCTTATTGCCGCTACAAAACTATGAGCGTCCGGTGCACAACCTCCATGACTTTGCATCTGAGAGAAGAGCTCAAGAGCTAGATCTTCTTCCCCATTGTCAGCACACCCGGTGATCAAAGCAGTCCACAACGTAACATCTGGATCATGCGCCATAGCTTCGAACACGGCCATACTGTCCACCAAGCTCCCACTTTTGGAGTACAGCTCGACGAGAGCGCAAGCTAGAAAGCCATTGAGTTCCATGGTTGCCTTGGCTCGAGCATGCAAAGCCATGCCTCTCTCGAGCAGCATGACTCTAATCTTCTTCCCACAAATCTCCTGCGCTTCTTCTTCTTTCTCGGCCAGATATACGCATGCCTTGAGCACCGCAACTAAAGTTCGAGCATTCGGAGCTTCACAGCTATGCTTGCTCATCGCCTCGAACAGTTCCAAAGAGAGCTCCGCGTCATGGTTCTCGGCACACCCGAGAATCATCGTGTTCCACATCACGAGATCACGGCACAGCATCCTGTCGAAAACCTTTAGCCCGTTCACGATGCTTCCACACCTTGCATATAGACTGATCATTGCGCTGGCCATGTAAACATCCAAGCCAAGTCTCTCAGCCTGCGAGTGTATAGCCATAGCTTTCTCCAAAGCCACAATCTTCACAAACTGTCCATCCCGTGAGCCCTTGATCGCTTCTTCCTTCTCTGCCAGACTCGAGCAGGCCTTGAGTGCCGTGACAAAGCTCCGAGAGTTCGCTGCATAGCCCTGGAGTAGCATCCGCTCGAACAGCTCCAAACTCGCCTCCTCCTCCCCGTGAAAAGCACATCCGGCCATCAAAACGTTCCATGAAACCCTGTCGCGATGATCCATCCGATCAAACACCCGACGAGCATCCTCCAGGCTCCCACACTTGGCATACAAATCCACCAGCGAGTTGCCAACGAAAACGCTTGTCGAGTCTGTCCTTCCATACTTCGCAGCCACCAAGTGAATCTCCGAAACTTTCTGGAGCGCAGAAACCTTGACAAGCTTTCCATTGACCAGCCTTCCATCTTCTTCCACCGCCAACTTGCTACACCCCTTGAGTGCAGCGACAAAGGTCCGAGGTGTCGGAATCACGGAAGAACTCTTCTCACTCTCCCAGATCATCAGCGACAAAATGCCCAACGCTCTCGGCATTTCCCCATTGGTGGCATAGCCTTGAATCAGCGAGTTCCACGACACCCCATCGTGCTGGACCATCCCATCGAAGACCCGCTGCGAATCCACCATGCTGCCGCATCGAGCGTACATATGAACCAGACCACTGGCCACGTAAAGGTTCGCAATCGCTCCAAACTGGATGGCATTGCCATGGATGATCTTCCCATCCTTGGCGCTGCTGCATGCCTTGAGCGGCCCCAGAATCAGAGCACTCGCTCGTAGCTTCTCCTGTGCTAATGCTTCCAGCGTTTCGGAAGAAGTAGAGCTTAAGTTGCCAAGAACAAGCTCTTCTTTTGCTTGAGAACTTGTGCCTGTTCTTCCCACATCTCAGCTCCAGCGTAGATGTTCGCCATCAACGCAAACGTGGATCCAGCTTGATCCTCGTCTACCTCCACCTCCAGCGCTGCCAACGCTTGAAACGCCATCTTTCCAATCTCCACCTTCTGCCACTTCCGAGCCGCAGCCAGCACCGTCTTCCACGCCACCACGCTCGGCCCGAGCGGCATTTTTTTCACGGCGCTCACTGCTTCCTCGACAAGCCCAGCTCGTCCCAGTAAATCCACCAGGCAGTGGTAGTGCTCCACGCCAGGAGTAACACCATACTTGGAAGCCATCACGAGGAAAACTTCTCTTCCCCGGTCGACCAGCCCGGCATGGCTACACGCGGTGAGAAGCGAGCAAAACGTAGCTCCGTCCAGCCGCAAGCCTGTCTCCTCGAGCGTCTGGAACAGCCCAAGTACCTGGTTCGTGTCTCCAAGTCGACCATAGCCAGCCATGAGAGCGCTCCACAGCGTCAAGTTCCTGGTTGGAGTCACGTCGAAGGCTTGCTCCGCCTGAGCCATGTTTCCTCCACACTTGCCGTAGAAATCCACCAGAGAGGCTGCGAGGAATGGACTGCTTTCCACTCCCGACCGCACAGCTTCGCCGTGGATGGCTCTCCCAGTTTCCAGAGCTGCGGTGTTGGAGCAGGCCTTCAAGAGTGGAACAAAAGTTCGAGCGTCTGGCCGGCACGAGGAGCTCTCCTCTTTGCGCATGAGCTTGTAGACTTCGAGAGCTTTCTCGCTCTCTCCATTGTCTGCGTAGCCGGAGAGCAGCGTGTTCCAGGATACCAAGTCGTGGAGTGGCATTTTGTCGAAGACTGCTCGAGCGTCGGCCAAGCTTCCACACTTGGCATACATGTCGATCAAACTATTGGCCACGAAGATGTGAGAATCCAGCTCGCACTGAGAAGCTTGAAGATGGAATGCACTGCCTCGCTTGAGCCACTCAGCCGTCGATTCCTCCTTCTCGGATGTCAGGTTGCCGCAGGCCTTGAAAACAGCAACGAAAGTCCGAGCGTCCGGATCCCAGCCTTTGCGTTGCATTTCCTCGAACAGCTCCAAACTCACTTCACTCTCCCCGTTAACAACATATCCTAGCAGCAGTGAATTCCACGAAACCACGTCTAGACTCGGCATCTCGTCGAAAACTTTTCGAGCTTCCACCATACTTCCGCAGCGCGCGTACATGTCTACCAGGGAATTTGCCACCACCTTGTCCGAGAGAAAGCCACACTTCACAGCCTCCGAGTGGAGACGCTTTCCTTCCTGGAGAGCCTCGACCTTTCTTCCATCTAGTAACTCTTCTTTATGCTCGGCCAGGCTCGCACAAGCCATGAAGGCAGCGACGTAAGTCCGAGCGTCTGGAACGCAACCTTCACGTTGCATGAGCGAGAAAAGCATCAGAGCCATGTCCCCCTGGCCTCTCTCCACATATCCCAGAACTAGAGAAGTCCAGGAAACCACGTCCCGTTGAGGCATCCGATTGAAAACCCCGCGAGCGTTTCCAATGCTGCCACACTTGGCATACAAATCCACCAGAGTGCTGGCCACGAACATGTCCGAGTCACACCCGCTCTTCCCAGCTTGAGAGTGAATAAAAGCCAGTTTTTCCAGGCAGTCGGCCTTGCTCGTCTCCACCAAACTAGCACAGGCCATGAGTCCAGCCACGAAGAACCGAGGATCTCGAAAAATTTGCTGAGATGTCACCAAGAGATCGAAGAGTTCCAATCCCAATGCTGCTTCTCCGCTTTCTACATATCCCAGGATGAGAGACGTCCAAGTCACAACGTCGTGGAAGGCCATCCTGTCAAAAACTCTTCTCGCATCCTCCATACTCCCACACTTGGAGTACATATCCACAAGCTTGTTTGCCACAAAGATGTTGGAGGTGACCCCAGCTTTCTCGGCCTCGGAATGAAGCACCAGTCCTGTTTCCAGCGCCTTCTCTTTCAAAAAAGCTTTCCTCTCTTTGCTGCTGCTGCTGCTGCTGCTGCTGGATATGTCTTTCTCTTTCGTTGCCAGAGCAGAACACGCCGCGAGAACGGCCACAAACGTTTGAGCATCCGGCAAAGACCCTCCTCGCGACTCTTGCATTCGTGAAAAGAGCTCCAGCGCTCTCTCTTCTTCTCCATTCTCCACACAACCCTGGATAAGTGCCGTCCACGAGACCAAGCTGTGACACGGCATCCTCTCAAACACTGCTCGAGCATTGACCAGGCTCCCACAACGCGAGTACATGTCCACCAGAGTATTCGCCACGAACAAGTTCATCTCGCAGCCAGCCTCGGCAGCTCGTCGATGCATCTCTCTCCCTCTTTCCAGAGCTTGTAACTTGATCCTCTTCTTCACATCTTTCTCATCCCGCCAAGACTTTTCCCGTGAAGAACCATCTTCTCTGGCTGCTAGAACTCTTCCAGAAGAAGCATCTTCTTTGCCTGCTAGAACTCTTCCATCGCTCAACGAATTCCCCTGACCACCTTCCTTGGCTGCCAGAGTCCCACAGGCCATGATCCCGGCCACGAAAGTCCGAGCATCGGCTCTACACCCTTCCCTCTCCATCCTCTCGAACAGCTCCAAGCCAGTCTCGCTTCTTCCATTCTCCACATAGCCGAGGATCAAAGCCGTCCACGACACCACATTCCTGGATTTCATCCCGTCGAAAACCTGCCGGGCTTCCTCCATGCTGCCGCATCGAGCATACATAACCACCAGCGTCGTCGCGACGTAGATGCTACGCACAAGGCCGCCGCCGCTCTCGAGCGCCTGAGAATGCAGCCTGCGACCTCGCTGGAGATCCCTAGACTGCTTGCATTCCTGGAGCGCGGCGATCAAGCCACGCTGCTGCTCGACAAGATTCACTTCCTCGCCAGTGCTTGCCCGCCCTCCTCCTCCGCCCCGTTGCGATGCCGGCGGCGATCGAGCTCGAGCCAAGCATTCCCTGGCCGCGCGCCTCGCCCATTGCGTCCCAGGCATCAAACATTTCCCTCGCAATCTAGGGTTTATGGAGGCATATTCGTCGCCCTGTTTAAGAATATTCTTCAGTAAAGAATATTCGAGAATATTCTTACTCTAAGCTCAAAACTTTCATGTTTCCTAGAATTTGGCAGTAGAGCTTTTGTTGTGCTTCTATACTGGAGAAAGCCAAAAAGTTTAACTAGCTTGTGGAATAGTCGATTGAATTTAATCTAACACCCATGGGATAGCAATTTGTTTCCTGTAACTTGGATCTGATTTTTTCCTTCTTCTCAGGAGCCGGAGTAAACTTGTAGGGCTTTCGACGAGAATGGCTCGAAGAGTAACTTTGCCAATGCAAGCTGAACCTTTTCTTTTTCTTTCTTCTTTATCCAGGCTTTGATCGTGAAAAAAAATGAGATTATAGAATGTTGCCTTTTACTAGGGAGTCCCGAGGCATTGGATTTGTGACGATGGAGACGACGACAAATACCTCCATGATCTCTTCATGGAACTGGATGGTTTTCTCCTGGTGTATGAGGAGTGTCTAGTTGTTCTTTTCAAGTGTCTCAAATCAAACAAGCAGCTCGATCAACTGCTGAGCTTCCATGCTGCAGGCCAAAACAAAACGCGCCCGTTCAATTCCTGGTAACTAGCTTAGCGTGAGGAAGAAGTTCTCCATGGGGCTGTGGCCACAGAGACTGGACTTTTCAAAAGCTAGAGGCTTGACGAGCCCACACACAAATGCGCACGGTGGAAATCCCTTTGGTCGTCATTTGAAGGATGTAGATTGTTTAGTTTCCTGGACTTGGATCTTACAAAGCTTGCAAGGATCTTCCCAGGTGAAAGATCGCTATCGCCGAGTTTAGGTCGCCGGGTCCCACGGAAGGAGAGAACGCCGAGTTCCAGGCCACCGCGCGCCACAGTAAGCTTGGATCGAGCAAAATTTCCTTCGAGGAGGATAGTCCACGAAACAATCTCTCGCTCGAGAATTCGATCGAAGAGGTATTCCAGGATCGTGCTCCGGGAGATGACGCTGGGGAATCGAATGCCATCAAAGATAAGATCCAAATCCCCAGCTTTGGGGATTTGGATCCGCCACCCGCTGCGGTGGAGGAAACCACATCCAATTCAGGCATCCTGGCCAGGATCGAGAGCACACGAGAGAGATCTCTGCTGGTGAGGATCGAGAGTACACGAGAGAGATCTCTGCTGCTGGCGAGGCAGGAGAGGAAGATTTGGCGCCAGGAGAAGGGATTCCTGGCGGAAGAGGGGGATGCTGGATTTGGATGAGGAGGTTGAGGAAGATGCCGTCGGTGGACATGAATCGCGATTGCAGCACCTGGGAGTGGACATTGCGGGCGTCGGCAATGTGGCGCGCGGATTTGAGCAGCCGGACGCACTCACACCGCTTCCAGGAACCCTAAAAACAGAGTAGCATTCCTACACGAATAGCGAAAAAGGGAATTTTTTTTCACGGGCATTTGGGCTTTCCCTTGTTGTTGAGGACGGCATCGTACGGGCACTCTTTCTTGCTCGCTTTTGGGCCATTTGGAACGCAAAAGCACTTGCTACAACATATGTTACACATCTTGTTGCACATCTCGGGCTCCCATGAGTTAGAGAGCATCCGTACTTGCACTTTCCTCAACAGTCTGCGAAAGAGAAACAAAGACCCATCACTTATACTCGATCCAACCAGCAAAACTAGAAGCTCGAAACTTAAGAAACAGTGAAAGATGTCTCACCGATTCCAGTCAAATCTCTGCTGCCAAGAACCACATTGCCATTCTGCCACAGACAAAAAGAAAAAGAGATTCGTTAAAACACGATCCCGAAGAACTCAATCAGGCAATGCACCTCGGCAATCACAAAAATGAGCAGGACGAGAAATGCTAGCCACTTCAAAGCCAGAGCCATTTTGCTAGAACTCCTCGTTTCTACCACGAAGGACACACCTGAGGACTCTGCGAGAAGAAACAACGAATGCTCTAGCGGAAGAGAAGAGTGGCGTTTTATAAGTCAGGAATTGACCTCCCTGTGGAAGAATTGCGGCACCTTGTGAAGCTAACTGTATAGTCAGCATAGAATTAAATCTAAAGATTGTCTGTCTGCCAAGCCATTGCGATGGAAGGCTGCTCCATTTAGATATCTTTGCACAATATATCTATCTCGTATAGTCGCCTCTTTGTCTGCCAGATCCTGGAAAAGAAAGAACTATGATCAAACTCTTTACCTTTTCTTCTTGGTTTAACTAATAAATGTAGGTTCACGAGAGCCTCAGCGCGAAGAGCGACCTGGGCGATTCAGTGTTCTCTTTATGATACAGACATAACTTCACAGCACCATCTTCTTCTATACTTCTTCTATGCAGAAAGAATATCAAAAGCAGTCGACGAAGTTGTGAGAACCGGACATATAACATCTCTTTCCACAACGAAGGAAAGAAAGAGCATGACTTGCTCATGCATATTGGTGGTGTACGATCCTTGGCTATAAAACAACACAAATCCACCACGAACTTACTCTCGTCGAATACTCTCAATGACTCTTGCAAAGTTTCTTGTTGTCTTTACCCTCCTCCTAGTGGCTAGCTCTTTTGGGCAGGGTGATGGAGATGACATGCCAATGCCAATGCCATCACTCAAGGGAGGCCACATTGCCAAAGCCGAAGGGCCAAGCGGGCCGGGAACCAGCATCAGCGGCCCGAATATAACCAACAAGTATGGGCCCTGAACAAATGGTAATCTTTTTTTCTTTCTTCCATTACGTTGCTGATGTCTGTGTTGTTTTGGTCGCCCTAGGAGACCCCACACTCAATAAAATTCATATGTTCTCCTAGTCTAATAGCAGCTCCAGCTCACGCAAGCTTGTCTCTAATTCGTGTGTTTGTTATGAGCGATCGGCTCTCTCTGATCGGTTGTTCCATCTAAGTCTTCATGCCAATATCACTCGCTCGAGAATTTTTTCTCCTGCAGCGTTTCTCTTCGCTTTGCTTCTGTCATAAGTCCTCACCCAAGGAAAAGAGTCGCCCCCGAAGCTTACGTCCGCGCGTAGTCTGGCTCCAGCTTCTTCATGAACTTTAGCTGTATTCAAGTGGAGGAGACCGAGAACGAGACGCCCACCGCTATCACTGCTCCTTGAGGCGAAGAGGTAGCAGCTTTCGGTACTCGGCGGCCTCGGCTCTGATGCGATCGGGCTTTCTCTGCACAGCGTCCACGGAGTAACCATCTTATTAAGATCGGAGCAGGAGTGTACCGTGAAATTCCAGTGTTTACTCGCGGACTCGTCCTCCATTGCTAGCTCCTCACGAGCATTTTGTTTTCAAAGTCATGGTTTTTTTAGTGATTATGCTATTAGATAAGCAGCAATATATATACCAACATTTATACCACGAGACCTCTATGCCTGAGAAGAGCATTTATGCTGGGGCCTCTTCCACGGAAATCTTCAAAAACCTGCAGAGCTCGTCGTGAGTTTAGTGTAAATTTATCAAAAGTTTTACTTTAGCAGGCGCTCTGCCTCCACCAAGCTCAAGAATTGTCTGCTTAAATAATTTTCCTGCCTCCTTAACGGCCTGTGAAACATACAAAAGCGAAACAATGGCTTCCCACTAATGATTGTTTTCACTCACAGTTTCATTTTCAAGGCCTGCTTCTTCAAACGCTCCAAAAGCATCTGATGACAGAACCTCAGACCACTGCACAGAATCATACCAAGATTCTTTTTGAGTGTCAGGATATGTTTTCTGAGGCCAGCTTACCAGGTAGCTATAGTAACCAGCTGCATACTCAGTTGCTACAAGAATGACAACCAACAACATAAGTCCAGTAAGAGAAAAAATACAGGAGAGATTAGAAATAGAGGAAAAACACATACTGGCGAATAAGTGGAGGAATTTGCAGATGGACTTGTCTTCAGGCAAAGGGGGTAATATCAATATCTCCCCTGCAACCTTGTTGCACAAGTTGTAAATCTCTTTCGAATTCACGGCTTCGAGCTTTGCATGCAGCTTGAGATCAATCAGAGAGCGGGAAACCTGTGTGCATTCAAAAACGAGAAATTATTCCAAGAAAACTTTTCTTCATTCGGCTTACCAGATAAAGAACGTTTGAAGCCGAGAAAAACGTTCTTGACGACTTGAGTTTCGTATATAGCGCCTCTGGGAGCTCTTGGCCAGTTCTATAGTGCACTGCAAAGCTCATCAAAGTGTTCCTGCGATCACGAGATTAGTTGAAGACTAGTTTGTTACAATCGAATCAGACCTGTCATAGCACCAGTTCTCCATAAACTGGGAGGGAATCTCGACTGCATCCCACTCTATTCCTTCGGATCCAGCCACAAGACCCTCGTCCTGTTTGCTCAAAAGGTGCTGCAAAGCATGCCCGAACTCATGAAACAGCATTGTCACCTGCAAAGTTTCAATCATAAGTGCTCCGTCAAACTTGTCAGCGCTACCCATAAGATCATGATTATAAAAAAGCCTACTGCTACTACCTCATAGAACGTCATCAAGCTTGGCTGATCGGGTAATGGTGGTGCCTGGTTGCAGACAATATGAGCGACAGGCAATCGCACCCCGCCACCTTTTTGCACAGCTGCATGGCTTCTGTTAAAGACTACGCCCATCCAATTTCCACTTCTCTTCTGGTGCGGCCTCGAGAATGGGTCCAGGTAAAAGTATCCCAGATTTTCTCCGCTGGCGCATTCTGCCACCTTGTAAAGCTTAACTTCTTTGTCCCAGACCTGTTATTCAGATTGAGATAGATGGATCATAGTTTTGGCATGCACGCTTACTGGTGTATTTTCTTCCAACTCTTCAATGTGGACGCCAAACAAGCGCTTCGCAAGGCTGAACAGGCCATCCATGACATTAGGCATGGAGAAATACGGCCTGAGTTCCTCCTAAAAATTCCAAAATAAAGTGAGCAAATATGACCAAGCCTTGGAAGGAAAACTTACATCATTCATGTCAAGCTTGGCCTCCCTGAAGCGCTCCGTCCAATATGGAATGTCCCAGTGGAACAAATTCTCATCTTCTTCTGAGTTTTCACTTCTCACAAATTCCTCAAGCTCCCGCATGTCTAAAACGAAGATCAACGAAAAAGAAAAACACTTGCAATAAGCTTTGATAGCAGAGAGAACATAGACCTCGAATAGCAGCAGCTCGTGAACAACTATGCAGTTTTTCGAGAAGTGCATGACAAGAATCCAGTGTCGCCATCTTTTGAAGCATACTCACCTGTACTAAAAAGAACTTTTTAGACTCTCATGTATAGGTAATATTACCTGAGCATGGTTTTCGCATCCTAACAACTCCGCTTTCTGCTGGCGAAGCTCGAGAATTCTTGTAATTACAGGGAAGTTATCAAAACTCTCTCCGGAGGCCACTGTGATGTCTGCGCGATATACTTCCTCGCGAAGGTCACGGTTTCTCGCAAATCTCATCACTCCCGAGTACATGGAACTGTCCAGAGTTATCAGCCACGGTCCACTCTTCGCATTGGCGCCTTCGTATCCCTGCAAAAAATACAACATGACCAAAGCATTATCAATAGCGAACTAAAGGATCTTACGTTGGATACTGCGGCTTGTGCAGCAAGAGCAAGAGCCGTTTCCGGCAAGCCTTCAAGAACAGAAATATCAGTCACCAGCTTCCCAAACAACTTGGTGGAGTCCAGCACATTTTCACTGAATTTGTTCAGTAATTTCTCCAGCTCCTGCAAAACTTTGAAATGTTAGCCAACAAACACATATATATACCTGTTGGATCTCATTAAAATGCACTTTCTTCTCATGTTCTAATGCCACTCCATTTAGTATGGCATCTTTCAAACGTCCTGAAGGAAAAAAAGAGAGAGAACTCCACAAGAGATCAAATGAAGCGCTCACATACCTTCTACAACTCGTTGCTGAGCTTCGTTCAGTGTATCGAACAAGGCACCATTGCGGATCTTCTCAAACGCCTGATACAAAGCCTTGCTCTGTCCTAACCTCAACAAAAAGTTCGTTCTCAAGGGCTGCACAACAGTCCTAAAACTCAGGAGAAAGAACAAGTAAAGTTACTTGTGCTTCGTCCACAGCAGCTCGAAGAGCGTCGGAATCCTTGACATCCTTGAGATGCGAAACAATCCCCCATACCACAGTCAAGCGATCAAGAATGCGTTCGAAGGGATGGACGAGCGCCTCCCACAGATCGCCACCATTCTCTCCAAAACTTGAGGCAGCAAAGCACTCCAGCTCAAGCAAATCCTTTTCCTGGAGGAAGAAATAAACACCACAATGACAATTTTTTATCATAAAATCTACACGTACCAGTTCCTTGACAACTTGCTTGACCCCTGGAACAACATGGTGAGCTTCAACCCTGTTAAACTCTGGGAGGCAGCCAACGGAGACAAGCGGATTCATCATCACCTCAATATGGCTTCAGTCTCCACTTCTATAACCTAAATATTAATCAATATAATTAGTGATAGACAAGCTAAAAAGAGTGTAAAGTAGACCTCTTTGTTTTGAGGAAAAATTTAGAGAAACAAAAAGTTTTACAATCAAGTTTTAATCAAGTTTTACATATCTCAACAATTAAAATAAATTGTTATGCCTTGCATATAGCAATGGTAGTGTTATTTTTGGTTTGCTTAAGCAAACCTATAATATTGAATATACCTAGGATATGCTTAAATATTCTAGGATATTCTACCATCTAATTGTTGTTATTCATTTAGATTAATCTTGTATTTATAATTTATAAACATGATTACAATTTATACACTTTCTTAAACCTTTTTTAGTATATTCTTTTCTATTCTATCATTTAATGGTTCATATGCAATAAGATTAATCTTATGATAAATTACAAACATGCTTATAATTATAAATTTTATTTGATATAATGAACTAATAAGTAAGAATAACACTACTTATAAGCAAACCAAACATTGTTACATGCAATGCATACCAATTTTTACTTATTAATCCAATACAGGTTACAATGCCCTTACAGGTTTGCTTAAGCAAATCAAAAAATGACTTCTAATGAGATTTAAATATAAGGGTGGCAGTGAATATACTTAGAATATGCTTTTAAGCAAACCTAAAAATGACTTCTAATGAGATTTAAATATAAGGGTGGCAGTGAATATACTTAAAATATGCTTTGATATTATAGAATATTCTACTATCTATTGGTTCTTATTCATTTAGATTAAAACTTCCTTAAACACTTCTTAGTATATTTTAATTTATTCTACCATTTAATCCATATCCATCCATAACACCACATTCCATTCCAGCAACCTTTAGAAGATAGACTTCGTGTTCTGGAGCTGCCGGATTTGCATGTGGGTGACGGTCATGATTGTTCAAAATATCTCATTTCGCTCCAGCATGGTGTGTCAGCTTGAATGAGGTGTAGACACAATGCCACGCCACAAAGTCGTGGTCAAGCATTCTTTCACAAATGTCACGAAATTCCTGGAGATGCCCTCTCTGTCCGTACGCTTGGATCATTGAATTCCAGGGGAAAATGTTACTAGGTTGCTTTTAGCAAATGCCCGCATTGGGCATGGATAGCCGTCCATGAAACTCCGTTCTTTTCTGGCATTGCATCATTTTGGGCATAAGCAGCGATCATATTGTCCCAAGAGAAGCGATTCCTCGCAGAGCCCATGCGATCGAAAGGCTCCGGATTGCCAAATTCGCGAGATAGCTGCTCGCTGCACAGTCGCCACGCCGCCGAACTTGACCGTAAATCTCTTTTCCCCGCGGCAGATCCCTGGTTCTGCTGCAAAATCAAAGAACCGCCGCGAACCTCCTAGTGTCACAAGCTGAATTGGTCCAGTGAAATGGTCGTTGCGTAGGAAATGCAGCGAAACATCAAGCAGGAGGAGCAGGAGTCCTGGGGAACTGCTAAAGTAGACACGGCCAGATTTTCAAAGCGCAGGCCGAGAAGAACCAACACTTGTTCGACGTCCACTTAGCAACAAGAAGATCTACTCGGCTTTTGGTCCTCTCGACTGCCAAGAGCAGCAAGACTACCAAGAGCAACGCTTTTAACAGAGGCCGACAAGCTCAGGCTAGTCGGATCCGCCACAGCAAGCAGAACACTTTTCTTGCGAATCTCCTCATACAAATGTATGGGACGTGTGGGAGATTGCGTGAAGCTCGCCTGGTTTTCGATCAGATCAAGCAGCTCAATCTATTTTCTCGCGACATCCTCCTCTCGGCATACGCACAGAATGGCGACATCCAGTCCGCTCGCCAGATCTTCGACTCGATGCAAGGAAAGAGAACTCGATGATCACGACGTATGCCCAGCACAGCCAAATCGCCGACGCGAGGAAGCTACCAAGAATGACGACGACGATCACTGGATTGGGGCAGAGAGCATTGCGAGAGGCGCTAGGAATCTTCCAATGGATGCCTCGGAAGAATGCCGTGACATGGAACGCGATGATCCAGGCCTATGCCCAAAACGGGCACTAAGACATTTTCGATGCCATGCCGGAGAAGAATTCCATGGCCGCCTGCTCCAGCAAACGCTGGTAGTTCTCTTGCCACGTGGACGGTGATGATCGATGGATACGCGCGGACGGCCGCGATGGATCTCTTCCTGCACGGGATTCCGGAATCGCTTCTCTAGCGCAGGCAAGGTTTCCGACGCGCGAAGGATCTTCGATTCGGTGATGGCTGAGCACAATGCCGTCGCATGGACGATTTTGACCAGGCGTATGTATCTGGCAATTGCAAGCAATGCGGGCGTGGGACACAGCAGAATGAAATTCGATGCTCCAAAAGGGTACGTTTTACATCGCAGGATCGAGAAGCAGTGGCATTCTTCCGGAATTCCATGCCTGATCACGACGAGGCCTCCTACACCATGATGATCGCTGCGTATGCACCAGACCGGGCAAATCCACAAGGCCAGGCATATCTCACCACAATGCCACAGCGAAGCATCGTTGTTTGGAATGCCATGATTCCTTGCTCGGAGAATGGGGCTTGCTCGGAGATGGGGCTCTTGGAGGAATCGAGGGAGCTGTTTGAGCAAATGGTGGTTTCGTATGCTCACAGGGGAAAATCTCGAGCAAGCCAAGGAGATCTTCGACGCAGTGCCCAAGCATAATCTAGCCAGCTCCAACTCAATGCTACAAGCTTTCATCCTCGCCTCGAGAAAGGTAGAAGCACGAGAGATGTTTGAAGATCCAGCACGATGTTCTTGCTTGGAGCGTGTGGATACGTGTGGAAGTTCTTTCTGCACATGCCGGAGCTCGATGTGGTAGCCTGGAACTCGATGCTCGTGGCCCTTGCCGCGCACGGAAAATCCAGAGACGCGATTGAGCTCTTTGGATTGATGCAAATCGACCGATGAAGGAAGCTTCATGGGAGCACTAGCAGCTTGCTCGCATTTGGGCTTGCTCGACCAGGGATGGGCATACTTCCTCTCGATCAATGAGAGCTACTCGATGCTTCCGACGAGCAGGCATTTTTGCTTCACGATAGACATGCTGGGAAAATCGGGACGAGCAGAAGACGGTCACGAACTTCTCGAGAAGATGCCGTGCGCCCCGGATGCCGTCGCTTGGGGATGCTTGCTCTAGCACCTGAGATCAAGATCATCTCACCACCATCTAGCAGTTACCGCTGCTCGAGGTGTTCTTGGGCTCTCTTTATCAGCTGATCGCGACGTCTCGATAGATCTATAACTTGGTTCAGTCTAGTTGATCATCTCGTCAGGACTACACGGACGAGATGGTGCTGTCGAGGGTGGAGGCGCTGCGAGCAGCGACTGTTGCTCGTTGTGGATCTTCTTGGAGCCCACAGGGAGGGAGAAACGCCATTCAAATGATGACGCAAGGCATCCTAGAGATGAGATCCTCGGCCTTGGCTGGCTGACCGCAGTAGTGCGCTCCCAGTGCTTCGACTTGATGATCGTCGACCATATTTCGAAAATAATTCCATCCCCGCTCGAACAGCCCGAGCTGGCCGCACTGAAACGCTCACAAATGCGGAATGGTGGAATCGAAGAGCGCTTTGGCGTTTGGATGATAGCCGTGCTGTGCACAGGCCTGGAGGAGGGCATTGCACAGCACGATATCACAGTGAGGAGTGGCGTCAAAGACGAGCTTTCCCTCTTGCATGCATGCGTTTTCGGCGAGAGATTGGAGCATCGAGGTGGACGAGATGAGGTCTTTCTCGGGTATTCTCTCGTATAGAGCTTTGGCCTCCTCCGCCACAGTGCATATCACATTCCACGACATTGTATCGCTCTCCGGCATTGCATTGTCGAACATACACTTGGCCTCCTCAAGCTGGCCAGCGGCAGTGTAGCCCTGGAGGATGCGTCTAGAGCGACGAGGTTCTTCTTGCGCATTCTATCACTCTGATCGCAGCTCCAAGATCTCCGGAAGCAAAGATCATCAAGAGATCATCAAATTGCGCTCGCTCATGCCAGAGTGGAAGAACGATACGGCAGATTGAGCTTAGATGGATCCATTCTGGCCATGTCCCAGCCGGGCATTCGTTGGAACAAGCGCTCAACGTCCTCTAGATTCCCCGCGTTGATCCAGCTGTCGATGAACGTGTTCCAGGAGATGACGTTGCGTTCCGGAATAGCATCGAACAGCGCTTGTGCCTCGGCCATGTGGCGTATCCAGCGATGACACCACATTCCATGCCGGCATCCTTTCGAAGATGGATTTCGTGCTTATGGCATCGCGATGCTTGGTGTAGACGTCAAGCATACAATTCATTCCTAATTCCTGGCGATGCCCTCTCTTTCCGTACGGGGATCATTGAATTCCAGGGAAAATGTCTCTAGTAGGCATCGAGTCAGAGATTAGCTTTGCTGTCAAAGAAGTTTCCCACACTGGGCATATGCCGTAAAGGCCATGAAACTCCTGACATTGCATCGAACACTTAATATCTCTCACTTGATTGTATGCCTCTGCTCGCTACTCCGCCGAATTTGAACATAAATCTTTTTTCCCCGCGAATGATCCCTGGTTTTGCTGCAAAATCGAGCTCTTGCTCACTATACAATTCAGCTGAAATGGCGGTTAACCCAAAAAACCTAGGTACACTTGTACGAATGAGGCGCCAATGGCGATCGAATCCAATGAGGAGATCGGAGCTCTTGGTTGCAGGTGCAACGATCAAGACGCCGCTGCTAGAGATGAGCTGTGACGCCGCAGAATCCTTCGCGATGACAACAATGGATGTCCCTCGAAGTGAGATTTCCTTCTTCGTTTTTTGGTTTCCAGCTCCAGGAAGCGACGGCATTCGAGCACCCATTTGGAGGGTGATTTTCAACATCAAGATCATGATTCCACCGAGTTGGAAACTCGTCACGTCACTCTCCACGCTTTCTTCTCTTGGTTGCTTTATTCGTTTCTATAGATCCAAGAAAATTCGTCTGAGTCGAGAGGTTAGTCCTGGGTTCTTTTGAGCGACAATGCTAGCTATGCTGTTCATCATTTGATAGACGAGGAGGTGCTTCCATTTCCAGCAGAAGCTTTAGGATCATCACTACCGTGGTTGGCCGTGAGTAACATAGAGAGCACCCACGCTCTCAAAGTTTTGGTTTTGGGAGCAATGGAAGCACTTGGCCTTTCTACAGGTGTGGCGGCCGCAGGTGAGGTGTCACAGGAAATTGCTTACAGGTTTTTGACATGTGTGTATACAGCCGAGTGATTATCCCAGCCAATCTTGGTGCAGGTGTTTGTTCCATGGATTGTTTATTGTATGAAAGCTTGCGATTCTTGATGATGCAGGCTTATTTGGTGGTGGCAAGTCGTTTGCATTTTTAAAGGAGTACACATTCTCGGTCAAATTTTGGGCTGTCTTCGGTGTTGTTCTTTGTTGTTTCAAGGTAGAGAGTATCGGTTTGCCTCTTGTGACACTGTAAATTCTTTTTATAGCCGGAAACTAGCCCCTGAGAATGGAGCTGGCTGGATGGCTGCGTACTCAGTCCTCCCACCACCAGAAGCTGCTGAGCAAGAAGAGCAAGCAGTTCTTTGAAGCGAGCTTTGACAAGTTTAACAATGATGTGCACGAGAAAATCTACTCGGCTTTGGTGTCGTGAGGACAGCTTCCTCTCGACCGAGCCCAGCATTCTCCACGATGGGCTCTAAGAGCACAAAGAGCAACAGGAGCGTAATACAAAACGGCCTTGTAAATGAGTTTCGGGTAAGCAGCTGGTTTGACCTTTTCCCAGTTCTTCGTCTCCTATGGTAGAGGATCATCTGAATCGTTGGGGCTTGTTCTTCTTTTTCCCCCTTGGTGATTGTCTTGTTCCATTCTTCTTGGGCTCTTCTTCTCTCCAAGTCGTGCGCCCGGGCTGCTTCTTATCTCCATTTCTGCACGGCGCATACGGCGAGAGCGACACAACATTGCGGGCGCTACCTCCACTTCTCCTGCACGATATCATCGTGCGTTTCCTCTGGTCTCGCTCCAGCGCTCCCCTCTTCTTCTTGGGCTTAATCTTCCTCGATGCAGCAGCAGAAGCAGATCCCTCCCGGCTTCCTCACTCAAATATGCTCTTCTCTGGCCCAGATCTGCTCTCCTATCTCACTTCTCCCGCGCTCTTTCACTGTTCCTTGAGATCTGGCTGCTCTCCAGCTAAAACAGGGGACCGTACCAGTTGGTACGGTATGGCGTACGGAAGCCCGGCGGGTTTAGGGTTCTTCGCTTCCAATCTTAAGGTATGACAGTGCACCCGGTAAGATTTTTGAGCCTCTTTTGTTTGCTATAGGTCATTGTCGATTCAGCTGGGCGAGAGCGGGGAGCCAAAATTTCCTCCTTTAGCCTTTCACAGAGAACGCTCTAGATGGATCAGAGGTGACCGAATTTTCCCTCCTTTTTCTTTTTCTAAACTCGTCCTCTCTTATTTCTCACTAGACGGTCGATTGTCCTTTTCGTTTTTCTAGCCTCTTCTTTCTCATTTCTCAGAGAAAGCTAATTTTTCTTTCGAATCTAGCGTAGCTTTTATTTCTCAGAGATAGACTGGGTGAGGGAGAATCTCTGTTCTTTTCCTGTTTCTAGCGTCTTCCTTTTCTTCTCAGAGGACGCTCGCCTAGACAGCTCGAGGCTCGGCCGCCAGCAGGCGTGACACCAAATCCGTTCCTTTCTTTCTTTCTTTCTAACCTCTTGCCTTTCAGAGAACGCTCGACTAGACGGTCGATTGAGCGCGAGCCCAGGCGGCGGTCGATTCAACTGGACGAGAGGGAGGAGGCCGTCACACCACCACAGTAAGCCAAATTTCTGTCGTTCGAATCTAGCCTTGCTTTTTATTTCTCAGAATCTGCGCAAAGAGACGGTCGATCCAGATTCAGCCGGGTGAGAGACGGATCACAAGGAGTCAGCCGGGAGCCATGCTACTTCGTAAGTTTGATTTTGATGATTCCCTTTGCTTTTTCCCTCACTCTTTTACTCTTTTATGTAGCTGGGCTAGTGGAAGTTAAAACCACTTATCCTTACACGGCAGTGAAGCGGATGGACAGAGAGTATGGGAAATATCCGGTGGAACGCTTTTGGTACGAGCGTTCCGTAAGCCAAACTCCCAAATTTTTGTGATTGTTTGACTCTCTTTATCTTGTAGGGTGCTCGTCTTTACTTTCCTCGACACGAAGACATACCCGTGGAATTGAAGTTCCCAGAGTACCTCTCCGACGAACAACGGGCTGCTGCACACAAGAAACACGAGGAGAAAATGAAGAACCGGAAGTATCTTTTAATGCCGGATGAGGAGCGACCATCGATGTGGAAACCTCCAGATTATAAGAGACCGAGTTACTTTTACTGTTGCCTTGGGAAGTAAGCTTTCTTTTTCTTCTTCTTCTTCTTGGCTGCTGAATTTTATTTTACTTTTTTGTAGGGAGGAGACACCAGAGGCGATTCCAGAGGCAATCAACTACGATCTCATCTGGGCCTGTCTTGATCCAGAAGAGTTTGATGGACCAAGTAAAGATTTTAATTTTAATTTTGTGTATGTTTGCTTTGCGTGTTGATTATTTTTTCTTGGTGCAGGCGTTAAGGCGTAAAAAATCAAAAAACAAACCCATAATAGATTCAGGTTTAAATATCATTAAAAATATGCTTTTATGGTTAAATTATTATTATTATACGGTAATATATTAGCATGGGATTTAAATGCTTAGAAAACTGTAAATTATGTCGTAAACCGGAGCAAGTTATCTAAATATTACAGTGCACGGTGCTAGAGGTCGTATGGAAAAGCCAGGCCGTGTTTTTAGTGAAAGGCAGGGCAAGGAAGGAGAGAAACGTCCTTGTAATTTACAGCCCGAGGACGAGCAGCAGCGATGTTGAGCTTCACCACCTCCGGCTCTTAAACATTACCTGGTTCATGGCGACCCTGGTGGGACGGACAGACTAATAACACCTTGTGCAGATATACAACCTGTCGGTAAATCCCAGCTTTCAACTTATTGAGCAAGCCTGCACCTGCGCTCTAGGCCAATAACTTTGCGAGGACGAATTTCGATAAGCAAACCAAATGTGTTTGTAGCGCAGCGAGCTCTCACTGCTGGGAAACTCGGGACGAGCAGAAGAAGCTCACGAACTTCTCGAGACAATACCGTTTGTCCCGGATGCCGTTGCTTGGGGATGCTTGCTCCAGCACCTGCGATCAAGATCTCACCACCATCTAGCAGTTAACGCTGCTCGAGGTGTTCTTGGGCTCTCTTCATCACTTGGTCCAGTCTAGAGCACGACTACGTAGGTGCTGGAAAGGAGAGCATGCGGTGACGAGATGGTGCTGTCGAGCAGCGACTGTTGCTCGTTGTGGATCTTCTTGGAGCCGACAGGGAGCGAGAAACGCCATCCAAGTGATTCCATCAGGGACGTAAGGCATGCTGGAGATGAGATCCTCGGCCTTGGCTAGTAGTGTGCTCCCCATTGATGATCGTCGACCATGTTCGAAAATAATTCCATCCCTGCTTGAACAACCCAAGCACCGAGAACTCACAAACGCTGAATGGTCGGGATCAAACATCATCGTCGTGAAGACATCAATGGTGTCTCGTCCGTGGTCTGCTACAAGGCCTCGGGCATGACATGGTGGTCCAGGACGTCTCTCTCTGCCATGGAATCGAAGAGCGCTTGGCGTTTGGAAGATAGCCGTGCTGTGCAAAGGCCTGGAGGAGGGCATTGCACAGCACGATATCACAGTGAGGAGTGGCATCAAAGACGAGCTTTGCCTCTTGCATGCATGCGTTTATGGCAAGAAATTGGAGCATCGAGGTGGACGAGACGAGGTCTTTCTCAGGTATTCTCTCGTACAGAGCTTTGCCTACTTCATATGCCCCCGCTGGGCATACCCCTGGAATATCACATTCCATGGTATTGTATCGCGCTCTGGCATTGCATTGTCGAACATATAGTTGGCCTCCTCGAGCTGCCCAGTGGCAGTGTAGCCCTGGAGGATCACGACCAGAGTGATGAGGTTCCTCTCGCACATTCTATCCAGCACTCTGATTGCAGCTCCAAGATCTCCGGAAGCAACGTAGGCTGAGATCATCAAGAGATCATCAAATTGTGCTCGCTCATGCCAGAGTGGAAGAACAATACGGCAGATTGGATCATTGTTGCCATTGTGGCCATGTCCTAGCCAGGCATTCGTTGGACAAGTGCTCGGTGTCCTCTAGATTCCCTTTGTTGTTCCATCTGTCAATGAACACGTTCCATGAGATGACATTGCTTTTTGGAATAGCATCGAACAACGCTCATGCCTTGCCCATGTGGCGTATCCAGCGATCATGGCCGTCCATGACACCTAAATTCCATTCTAGCTTCCTTTTGGAGATGGATTTCATGTAGCTGCTGATCTGCACGTGGCCGACTGATGATAATTGTCCAAGAGATGTCATTGCACTCAGGGCATGAGTGGAGTGCCTTGGTTGGGGATCCCCAACTCCCCAAGCCATATGTAACAAACTTGAAATAAACTGCTACTATATACACTTGTTTATATAGATTTGTCTTTGAATTCTTGAAACTTACTTATCATGCAAGCTTACTAAATTGTGAGTGGCTAACCTTTCTATATTTTGCATTGACTAAAACAATACCCTATTGTCCAGCAGCTACAATAAGAATTGATAATCTTGTAGCATACATAGTTTTCACTTTTTATTATATTAGGATAACCATGAAATGGAACTTAAACTTTCTATATAGCATGTGCCTAAGGAGTAGAACCTAAGTTTCAAGGTTTTGGATCACCAAATGAAGGAATGGAGTGAGAGACTATACTTTATTGGCCATATCTAATTAGTACCAAGAGTTAATCTCTAGGATAAGCTTGAAATTTACTAAATATAGAATGGTGCTAGATTACGAATCTGGAAATATAAAGAGCATTGGGGATAATGTTTGGCAAATATGGTAATTTATCACTTAATGAGCATTAAGGGGCCAAACTCAATATCGTGGGGACTTTTGTTAAACTAATGCAAAATAAAGCAAAAGAGAATTAACAAACTGGGCTAAATATTTGGCTAAATAGACACTTAAGAATTCTTTTTTTATGCTCATCCGGCTAAGTATAGATGCTAAATTAAGTTTATTAACACTTGAATAAAAGGGATTGATAAAGGGTCTAACAATATTGACTTCCTACCATTGTAGCAGTAAAGAAAAAATATCTTAAATAACTTGTTAACATGTAACTTTCAATATTTGCAATTAAAGTTGTGACACTCTCCCCCCCCTTAAGGAAGATTGATGTCTTCGTCGATACACACTTGAGTTTAGAATACCACCAAAAAAACAACTCCAAAAAAAGTTTATAGTATTCATGCTTTGTAAGAAATGCACCAACTTAAATGAGTTAAGGGGCAACTCTCTATTTAACATAAATGCAGTACAATTCAAACACTTTCTAATTGTCACTAACAAAGAATTGACTAATAGAGTTAGCCACCCCTATTGCTCTGAGTGTCACTGAACTTACAAAAGATGATATACCCCTACTTATATATGACATAGAGAGAGAAGCTAGAAGCCTTAACCCTCATGAGCAAATAAACCAAATAAATAAACTACTCTAAATAGGCAATTAGAGTTATTTACACCCCTTTTTAAGAAATAAGGAACATTGAGAAAGAGGTAAGGTGATGTGACCAGTCTATAATATGATAAAAGATTTCACTATGCACACGAAGTGCCGAAACTAGTTTACTTATACTAGCCCAAATCCAAAGATTAATAAATGGACAATATCAAAGTTAGAGACAATGATATCTAAGAGACTAAATTATTAATGAATAAAGCTTAAATTAGAATACAAAAAGTATTCTAAGTAATTTATCATTTGATAAACCAGAATTACAAGATTAACCAACCAATAAAATTTAATAACACATAGATCATTAAGGAAATGATAAATCTTAACTACAATAGTATGCCAAACAAAATATACAAGAGAACTAAAAAAACACAAAGTATCATTAATAAATAAGCAAAATGATTATGAATGTATCATCTAAAGGAAATAACATCTTAATTTATCAGAACCAACTCTAATAATAATCAACAAAACAGAATAAATATTGCAAAGTAAACAAACACTCATTCATTTGAATAAATCTTAGTTAACCATATTAAGGAATTCAAATTTCTTCATCAAGCATCATCAACATTTTACTGATGTCTCAAACCTAAGAGACCAATCTAGAGCAAACCACAAAAAACATGTAAAAATATGGAAAGCCAAAAGCTTTCAATGAGAATAATTAATGATCATAAAAGATCATCAATCATCCCATTAATAGAGAAATATATAATCATTATTGAATAAATAATTTACTATCATAAAGAATGGTAAATCATTTAACACAATAATTTTGCAAAACCTTTGACAAAGATAATTAATTATTGTAGATGATAGTCAATCATCATTAATGATTGCTAGATGTAAATACTTATTCAACATCGAAACTGATGGAGCTAAAATGCCTTCTCCAACAACTTATAACAAATAGAACAATAAACATAAAAACTCAAAGAACTAAAAGTTCAAAGAAGTTTATAACCAAGTCTTGCTTAACAATAATCACAAGCCTTACATGAACTAACTTTAATGTTAAAGAAAAAATTATGATACAACTCACAATATTCTTTTTAGCACATTCAAAAGTTAAACTTCATAATGCAAAAACTAATGAAGAGTATATTTGCATCATTCCAAAAGCCAAGTAGAATGAAATTATACTTCATAAATAATCTCCGAACAATCCTCCATAAATTCATCTTTTATAATAAAACATAATTGACTTCATAACAAGTATAAGAAAAAATCATCAATAATTGATATATCTCAACTTAAATTCAATAAAGATTTAATCATTTCAATATCGAAATTAACTCTTCCTCTTGTAAAGCTAATAGAATGCATGACTAAATCACTTTTCAAGGAAAAGCCAAAACACAATCTCTACTAAACAATCTCGTTTAGAATACCACTAACTTTGTTACTGTTGTGAATGTGACTTCAGGTATCGAAAGTTACCTGCCAGCCAGTCCTTACGGACACTCTTTCCTTACTCAGCCACGATGGTAGGAGGTTGATATTGCTAATTCCCTTTATTGGCCTCTTTTGTTCAAGTGTTAGTGTAGTGCACGTGGTTTTGACCCTTTATCCTATGGTGATTTACCATAGAATAACACCACGAAGCGGAACCTAAACCCTTTTTGTGCCACGTGACAGATGCCACATGTCACATGCCACGTGTCCATGCCACATGTCCATAGGAACCCGAGGTTTAGGGCCTTGGGCCACTGAACAAAGGAACGGTGCCAAACTCCCAAGCATGGAGCCAAAGAGTGACGGAACCGAACCACGGAGCAACTCCCAAGCATAAAGCCCAAGGAGCGAAAGAACAGGAGCCCAAAGCGACTTGGAACAGTCCTAGAGTAACCAGCATCCCAATGCCAGGACCAGCATGCAAAATAGAGCCAAACAGAGTCTGGCGCTATTTCGGCATACCGGTGGCCTAACGCGAGGACATGGGTACTCCACCAGCTAGCATGGAATGGAACTTGGGCTTAGACCCAAGCCAGATGCAAAACAAGGACAGGCACGCAAGCAGGAGCTAGACTATGCCTCAAATT